GCTGAAATTATTTAAAAAAATCTCATATGGAATGCACTTTAGAAACACACCCAAAACTCATTTATTAAAACATGGCCAGATTCTCCTTTGCCTAGCACTGCCTCAGATATACATTATGAGGATATTATCATGGTTAATGTCAGTAACCCTATCCTCATATACCAATTGTACTGTCCATACCCTCGGTGTGACCAAAAGCCTCCTTCAAAAGTTAAGATCAACAATGTCAACTTCAAGAATATTAAGGGCTCATCTTTCACTCCACTTGCAGTCAGGCTTGTATGTAGCAGAGGCGTACTCTGTGAGAATGTGGAGTTGGTTAACATTAATCTCACCTACGGTGGAGACCAACGCCCTCTTATCTCTCTGTGCTTTGAGTGTTCTTTATAAAGGACTCACAAAGCAAAGCCCTAAAATTTGGCACGAGCGAACCGTGTGGGTTGTCCGTCGAACGAACGATGCCCAACCGCACGTCCCGTACAGGGCGTTTTGAAGTTTGATCGTGCAAGCTGCAGGAGGATAAGGCAAAGAACCGTACCTAATTAATTGGAATATTTGAGTTTTATATCTTTTTCCTGCGCATTTTTTTGGTAAGTTTGAAATTTGGGCTTCTGATTTAGAGTGGATCTAAATTCTAAAAGAGTCTATTTAACTAGTTCCTTCGATGTAGTCCACAAACAACAGACTGAATGGGCCCAAATATTTCTTTTTTCCACCCCAATAGTGCTAACAACAATTGGAGTCTAAAGTGAATGTACAAGGACACTTTTTTCTCTTCCGGGAAAATCAAAATTTATTAAAAGGAAGTAATGGAGGTCCAAATATATTAGTAAATCAATTTTGGTAATTTATTTTCGCGGATGACATATACTTTAGAAACTTTGTGTATTACATATGTCCACCATCATAATTTACGGAGCTTCACTATTATACTCAAAATATGGGCTGAAATGATAAAAAAAAAAAATCTCATATGGAATGCACTTTAGAAACACACCCAAAACTCATTTATTACATAAGAAATGGGTGTTGAAGTTCCTATAAATTACTTGATAACAAGCCTTGCCCAGATTTTTTTTAAAAAAACCCCAAACAATTTATTATTAAAAAAAAAAATCATGAAAACCAAATAGGGGCTCTTTATAGAAGTACATTGTTAATACTATGTCATATAACTATCTTGTTAATACTACTATGTCATAGAACTATCTTGTTAATACTACTATATCATAGAAGTACATTGTTAATACTCTGTTATAGACCTATCTTGTTAATACTCTGCCATAGAAGTGCATTGTTAAACCAAAATGAGATCCATACCTGAAATAGTAACAAAAGATAAATCGATCATCAAAGCTTAAAATACATTCCTCAAATCAACTAAAATCTGAAGAGAAACATATAATTGAAGCAAAATATCAAAAATCTCAAGTCCAAACCAAACAATGACAACGACGACGCAGTGAAATCCTCATCTTCCTCCACAACTGAAGATGACAAGTCGCTGTCAAAAAAACAAAAATCTCACTTACTCGCAACGAACTAAAATTCCGAACAATCTAAGTACAAGAAAGATTTCATAACAAGAATTTGAAGCAAAAAATTTGAAAATCAAAGCTCGAAGATGAGGAGTAGAGCTAGTAGCATCTGATCGAGGTTCGTTCGAGGTTCCAAACAATTCGGAAAAAAAAATATGAATAGAAGCACGATTTTAGAACAAGAAATCAAAGGTGAAATATTGAAAATTGTAGATTAGAGATAAAGAATGTAGTTGGACCTGGGATTGAGCTTCAATGGAAGCTCATCTTGCTCCAACACCAAGAAAGCACTAGTGAGAAAGGAGAAAATGAATCTGATTTGATTTTTTGGCAATTTAATATTAATATCAAAATGAACAGTTGGCAAATCTGATTTTTCTCTCTCAAATCCATAGTACACGGGCAATATATGTATTTGACACATACAAATAAACTAAAAAATAGCTATTAAATTGAAAAAGTAAACAGTTGTCAATTTTTGGGTTTTTTTAATGGGTATGTTTATAGTTTTTAAATGGTATATGGTTTCTGTATAAGACTATGTCAAAAATTGGGTATATAACTAAATTTGTATATAATTTATAAGTGACGTGACTGATACCGACGGGACAAGGTCTTACTAATGAAATATTTTATGTTACTGATTGTATACAATCATGTGTTTATTTAATATGTGATCGAAGAGATACAAATGTAATTGTATAAGATTGAGTTGAGCGAGAGAAAAGACTATTGAGTGGGATTCATGCATGGGCGGATGTAGGTGTGGGCTAGAATTGGCTCTAGCCCAATGCTAAATTTTTAGATTATACAACTTAGGCTAAGCTGTCTAAGCCTAAAGTAGGTAAATCCAAAATTAGCCTACCCCTGTATGTAGAAATAAGTCCACCTTTGCATAAACCTCAACCGTTGGATTGACTAAAATCCATATGATGCAACTTTGGAGCCTGTGTGATGCATTTTTATTAGGGGTGGTTGCGGTTCGGTAACCGCGAATTTTTGCTCAAACCGCAAACCGACCGACTATTTGCAGTATGGTGATTTTTGAAACCGCAAACCGACTGCTTTTTGCGGTTTACCGAACTGCAAAAAGTGGTCGGTTACCATGAATTAGCGGTTTAAAACCGCAAGTTCTTTTTGTGTCATAAAAATCCAATCTTCCACATTTTAGGCCTAATTTTGATGCTTCTTTTGAAGCCTTTTGAGTTCAAGCATACTTTAACCCAAAAATATAAATTCACAATTTAAATAAATAAATTCACAACCTCAACTTTTCAAGCATATATAAATTCACAACCTCCTCAACTTCTCAAGCATTCACAACCTAAAGAAAATTAAAGTTACAATTCCAAGCATTCTAATTAAAGTTAAACTTCTCAAGCATTCACAACCTCAACTTCTAATTCTAAATCCTTTAAAGTTACAAACCAAAAAGAAAATGCAATGCAAAATGAATTAAAGTTACAACTCAAAGGAAAAATCCAATTCAAAGTTAATTAGAGTTACAAACTAAAAGGAAAATACAATGCACCAATGTTACAAACTCAAGTGTTGGTGGTGGTGAGTGGATTTGAAGGACCCCATTGGGTTGTTTGAGCACTAATGCTATCTACAAAATGCAATTTTTTATATATATTTTAAATATAGTCGCGATTTGCAGTAACCGCAAGTTTTGAAAATCAAATACTGCAACCGCAACCGCAAATGCGGTTCGGTTCTTCATACTGCAAATACGATTCGGTTTTCCGCAATTGCGGTTCCATTGCAGTAAATTGTCGGTTGGTTTTTGCAGTTTTTCAGTTTTTCAATTTTTCGGTCTAAAATACCACCCCTAATTTTTATAATAAAAATAAAAATATAAGCATGAGGTTTAGGTTTTTTTTTCTATGAACCTTTTCTCTGTAATTCTTTTTCTTTCTGCTACAATCTTTCTTCACCTTAATCCATATTATTATGATGGTATTATAGCCAATCTCGATACTTTTGTAATTTCTCATATATTTCTTTACTAAATTTTTGAACATATCAATTTTGCTGAGATTCTTATGTGTTCTTTTCTGAATTTATGGTTCTTTCAAGTTACTTTTACTTCCTAAAGCTTGGCTTATCTAATGATGTTATGATGGTTACCATAATTATATGGGGGATAAAAACATAACCACCGTTAATAGATATCCCAAAAAAAATAAAATAAAAAATAAAAAATTTGCCCACTCCTATAAAAATTTCTGACTACGCCATTGGATTCATGTAAAGCCAAGATCATGTTGCCACAACGCATATAGATGATTTACCATACAAAGGGCCAATTTAGGTGCAATGGACATATTATATATTCTTCAAATCCAAATATATCAGGCTCAGTTCCTTCGGACATATTATCGCTGCTATATATAGTGGTCTTAAATGAAACTATAAATGACAATTGGGTTGCTGGATTTTCAGCTAAATTATATGGTATGCATATTGGTCAAGTTCTATGTGCTGAGTTGTGGGCACTATTGTGTTGTTTAAAAAGTTAGCCTTGAGCCTTAACATTGATAGTATAATTTCCAAGATCATGTTATAATTAAGTTCTATTGTATACAATTGTTGGGCACACCAACTCAAAGAACCTTGAGATGGTTTTGAAAAACGAAATACAAACCAAATAGACTAAATTGTAGCAATGATCCTAAACTATACCCCTCGTTACATTTTTGTCCCTAAACTCCAAAAATAGTTGTTGTCGTCCCCGAATTAACAGTTAAAATGCAATTAACCCATTAGCTAAAAGCACTTCAATGAGAAAGGGCAGTAGAAATGCTAGCTTCATGATCATGAAGATGAAGCCTTAATTTGTCTCTCCTTGGACATTGAGAGTGAAATAAACAGATACCAAATCAAGTAGCTGATCATCTATAGCCTTAATGTTATTTAACAGCAAAAGAAGCTAAATGGATGGAGATTCTACCTATGCATAAGATGATGCTATACCTTTGTATCACTACTAGACTCACTAAACCTTAGGGTTTAAGGAGAGTAGGGGTTTGGGGTTGAAACCCAACCAGTAGTCACTAAACCTTGATTCTGTCATGAAATATATAAAAACCAAGAGTAGGAAGAATCTAACATGCACAAGCATCCACACACAAAAGCAATGAGATTAATATTTGAAAGAAAAACTTCCACAGGATCAAGCAAGCATTCTCAACAAACTATTGTCTGATAACCCGTACATAATTCCACAAATAAAGCTCTAGGGAACGTAGTTAAGTCGTAAGTGGCACAATACACAAAAACAGGGTTCACAAAATAATGTTGGCACACAAAAGCAGGGTTTAGGCCAACACAAATGAAAACATTGATTTAGCTAATTAAGATGACATATGATATAAGTTCTGAAATTTCTAACCAAGAAAGTGTGTTTTTGTAACTTAATAACAGAGTTATAATCTTTCCACCTTGACTGACCACTAGTCTTCATTTGGTTCCAGCGGTTCCTTGAGAGGCCTTGCGCTCTGCTAGTTCCTGGAGAGCCTTCTCACACTCTCTAGCCTTCTTCTGATCTCCTCTTACTTCTCCAACTCCAGTATCTGTTTGGAAGCGGAGTAAAAGATGGCATGTTGATACAATTGCCTCCAATGCTTTCAGCCCTCTGTATCCAAAGATGACGTCATACACTGAAGGACAGTCCACAACCATAAAATCCACCATGAATGTACGGACTCTCGGGGGCCTATCACCAGCTGTGACAGGGAGAGTGATTGTCCCAATACTTTCAGTCTTTTCCCCATAGTTTCCCATAGCAGTCTGTTTAATGGGAAGAATATCGTTCCGGCTGAGCCCCAAGACTTTCTCCAGAGTGGAAAGGTAAAGAAGACAGGGTCCAAAGCCAGAGGTGACAAAGATCTTGTCCACCTTAGCGTTTGCCACCATCATGGAAACAACAAGTGCATCGTTGTGGGGGAGTTCAACTCCCTTCGAGTCCTCATCTGAAAAGGTTATGCCGTCGAAATCTATTTCGCTAAAATGCTTAGAACCAGACATGATCACAGATCACCTGCTTCTTGAAATGAAAAATACCATATCTAAGACCAAGATGTTCACATTAAAATTCTCCTATATGAAACACCATGATCAAAATAGGCATAAAATTCTAAGACTAAGAGCAAAACTCACACAGTTCCAAATCCAAAACACCATGGTTATATAGAGTTACATTATCTGTCAATATACAGCTACTACAGTCTACATAGGCGCAAATTAAAATGGTTAGAGGCTAGAGCAAAGAAGCTTCATACCTTGGTTGGGAGCTTGAGCTTGAGCTTGCCTGCGGTAGTGAAAAAGATGGAGAGAAAAATGTGCCGCTAGGGCCACTGGCCCTTGAGAGTTCTTTATAAAGGACTCACAAAGCCCTAAAATTTGGCACGACCTAACCGTGTGGGTCGTGCTTGTTGTTCAATGCCCGTTGAACGAACGATGCCCAATTGCACGTCCGTACAGGCCGTTTTGAAGTTTGATCGTGCAAACTGCAGGATAAAGCAAAGAACCGCGCCTTGTGGAATATTTTAGTTTTATATCTAAATTCTAAAGGAGTCTATATAGGCCTAGTTCATTTAATGGGCCCTACAGTCCAATAACAACAGACTTAACGAGCCCAATTATTTTTTGCCATTTTTCGATAGTGCTAACAAATATGGGCAATTATCCAATGAGAACATTACATGATAACACTGTTAGATCTAAACTAACGGTTGCGCCAAAAGCAATAATAAGTGAAACTGTTGTACTAGAATGCAGCCTTGTTCTCTCTCCTCCCTCCAAAACGTCCCCTCCAAAATAATTGTTCGCTTTGTTCAGTTATGAGGCCTTTTTTTTTATATTCTCTTTGAGGAAGAACGCTGAAGAGCGCTCCTCTAATTCCCTTTTTTATTTTCATTTTTTTGGCTTGCTCATTCAGCCAGTGGCGGACCTGTGCAGGGGCAAGGAGGTGCAGGTGCACCTCCAGTCACTGGAAAAGTCCATTTGAGCAGCTGGAGTTGCACCTCTGTTTCAGACAAAAGATGCACGCAACGTGTTCGACGAAATGCCCAAACCACCTGGGTTGGGCACTGCATCTGCTGCACGCAGCGCGCCTTGTTTTTTTTTTTTTTTTTTTTTTTTTTTTTTTTAACAACCCTGGCCTACACGACGTCGTTTTATACCAGACTTTTAATAAAGGAGTTTGTTTTTTTTTTTTTTTTTTTTTTTTTTTTTTTTTTTCTAAAACTGGACAAAACGTTGTTTTGGACCATGTTTTTTTTTTTTAACAGTAAAAAAAAAAAAAAAAGAAAAGGAAACCGTTGCTGTTGCTGGGCCATTCTATTGGGCTTTCGAATTTGTATTATTCCTTACTTAATTGGGTTTCCAATTTCTATAATTCCTTATTGGGTTTTAAGTGGGAGTTATCTTTATTCAATTGGGTTTTGGGAATTTCTTTATTGGGATTGGAATTCTCTTTATAAAGGACCAATTTAACATTACCCAATTTCATCAAAGTGTGCATCACAAGAATTATATGGTATGCATATTGGTCAAGTTCTATGTGCTGAGTTGTGGGCACTATTGTATTGTTTAAAAAGTTAGCCTTGAGCCTTAACATTGATAGTATAATTTCCAAGATCATGTTATAATTAACTTCTATTGTATACAATTGTTGGGCACACCAACTCAAAGAACCTTGAGATGGTTTTGAAAAACGAAATACAAACCAAATAGACTAAATTGTAGCAATGATCCTAAACTATACCCCTAGTTACATTTTTGTCCCTAAACTCCAAAAATAGTTGTTGTCGTCCCTGAATTAACAGTTAAAATGCAATTAACCCATTAGCTAAAAGCACTTCAATGAGAAAGGGCAGTAGAAATGCTAGCTTCATGATCATGAAGATGAAGCCTTAATTTGTCTCTCCTTGGACATTGAGAGTGAAATAAACCGATACCAAATCAAGTAGCTGATCATCTATAGCCTTAATGTGATTTGAAAGCAAAAGAAGCTAAATGGATGGAGATTCTGCCTATGTATAAGATGATGCTACACCTTTGTATCACTACTAGACTCACTAAACCTTAGGGTTTAAGGAGAGTAGGGGTTTGGGGGTTGAAACCCAACCAGTAGTCACTAAACCTTAATTCTGTCATGAAATATATAAAAACCAAGAGTAGGAAGAATCCAACATGCACAAGTATCCACACACAAAAGCAATGAGATTAATATTTAAAAAGAAAAACTTCCACAGGATCAAGCAAGCATTCTCAACAAACTATTGCCTGATAACCCATATATAATTCCACAAATAAAGCTCTAGGGAACATAGTTAAGTCGTAAGTGGCACAATACACAAAAACAGGGTTCACAAAATAATGTTGGCACACAAAAGCAGGGTTCACAAAATAATGTTGGCACACAAAAGCAGGGTTTAGGCCAACACAAATGAAAACATTGATTTAGCTAATTAAGATGACATATGATATAAGTTTTGAAATTTCTAACCAAGAAAGTGTGTTTTTGTAACTTCATAACAGAGTTATAATCTTTCCACCTTGACTGACCACTGGTCTTCATTTGGTTCCAGCGGTTCCTTGAGAGGCCTTGCGCTCTGCTAGTTCCTGGAGAGCCTTCTCACACTCTCTAGCCTTCTTCTGATCTCCTCTTACTTCTCCAACTCCAGCATCTGTATGGAAGCGGAGAAAAAGATGGTATGTTGATGCATGTTAGAATTGTGGGGGAAAACAACAAAGTGAATTTATTAGATTGGAGGAGAATAGTACATAGCATTGTGTAGGCTAATTGGCCTTCTACACTTAGCATATTAGCTTATTGGCCACAACACTTGGTTTAGATTAGTTTGGGCTATTTGGCCCTTACACTTTGATTAATGAGCTTATTGGCTCTCAACATAGTTAGCATTAGGTAGCCCGGCTACCTAATGCTAACTATGTTGAGAGCCAATAAGCTCATCTAGCTTCTTCAATGCTATCCTCAGGAGGAGCATGCTCGGACAAACACAAATGCGCATTAAGGAGAAGTGTTGAAAAAAATAATGCTCATTTGTGTTCTACAAAATTCTAGAAAAGTCAAGACTTCAAAAGATAGAGGTGGCTACCTAATGCTAACTATGCTGAGCCCCAAGACTTTCTCCAGAGTGGAAAGGTAAAGAAGACGGGGTCCAAAGCCAGAGGTGACAAAGATCTTGTCCACCTTAGCGTTTGCCACCATCATGGAAACAACAAGTGCATCGTTGTGGGGGAGTTCAACTCCCTTCAAGTCCTCATCTGAAAAGGTTATGCCGTCGAAATCTATTTCGCTAAAATGCTTAGAACCAGACATGATCATAGATCACCTGCTTCTTGAAATGAAAAATACCATATCTAAGACCAAGATGTTCACATTAAAATTCTCCTATATGAAAAACCATGATCAAAATAGGCATAAAATTCTAAGACCAGGAGCAAAACTCACACAGTTCCAAATCCAAAACACCATGGTTATCTATAGTTACATTATCTGTCAATATACAGCTACTACAGTCTACATAGGCATAAATTAAAATGGTTAGAGCAAAGAAGCTTCATACCTTGGTTGGGAGCTTGAGCTTGCCTGCAGTAGTGAAAAATATGGAGAGAAAATTTGGCACAAAGCCCTAAAATTTGGCACGAGCTAACCGTGTGCGTCGTGCTTGTTGTTCAATGCCCGTTGAACGAACGACGCCCAACTGCACGTCCGTACAGGGCGTTTTGAAGTTTGATCGTGCAAACTGCAGGATAAAGCAAAGAACCGCTCCTTGTGGAATATTTTAGTTTTATATCTAAATTCTAAATGAGTCTATAGGCCTAGTTCATTTGATGGGCCCTACAGTCCAATAACAACAGACTTAACAAGCCCAAATATTTTTTTGCCATTTTTCAATAGTGCTAACAAATATGGGCAATTTTCTAATGAGAACATTACATGATAACACTGTTGGATCTAAACTAACGGTTGCGCCAAAAGCAATAGTAAGTGAAACTGTTGTACTAGAATGCAGGCTTGTTCTCTCTCCTCCCTCCAAAATGTCCCTTCCAAAATAATTGTTCGCTTCGTTCAATTATGAGGCCATTTTTTATTATCTCCTTTGATATTCTCTTTGAGGAAGAACACTGAAGAGCGTTCCTCTAATTCCCTTTTTTCTTTTCATTTTTTTGGCTTGCTCATTCAGACAAAACAAAGCAATCTATTCTCCTAAATAGCGCATGTACCACTGTAATTCGATTTTTTTTTTCATCTTTGTGATTTGGTCTTTCTAGTCCGAACATTCGTCAATCCTTGAGTAAGGTCAAAATTGGTTTTGAGTTGGAAACTGGTGACTACGACCCTTGTGGTTCAGTTCTCTTGGTTTTGAAATCCTTGAGCATGGTCGAAACTGGGGTTGAGGAAGTCAACTTTTTGGGATTGACGTTCAAATCTAAATGGGCGACATTGTCATTTGCTGAAATTGTTGAAGTTCGAAATTACTTATGAAGTAAGTGATATATTGTATTTGTCAATTTTAGTATTGGGCATCAGCATGAGTTACGTTAATTTATATGTAGATTCTTTAGTCAATGCAAATATTTCAAGCACTTTGGTTATATATGGTGCGAAAATTGACCCTATTTCCTCATTTTTCCCTAAGTCATTGATTCAATCCCCTGTGAATTAAAGGTGTTGAGGCCCAAAATTCCAAGGTTGTGCCTAAATAAATTCTTGGCTCAACGCAATGCCTTATAAAGAAAAGACCTGATTTGAAGCACGCGAAAGTTCGTCATTCACGCTCGCATGAGTGATGACCCACGTACCATGCCAAATAAATATGCAATCTATCATGCTAAGAGTTGAAATAAGCATTGGCTTTACGAGCCCAAGCTAATTATCCTGTCATGCGTCATATCATTCTTCAAAGCGACAAAATTCAAGCACGCCAAGAGACATGCAATGCCAAGTGGAAAATTATTATTATTACACCTAGCCAGGCTACAAGCTTAAGTGGGCTCAATCCAAGCAAATTCATGGGGCTTGCTTAAGTGGGTTGTGGTATGGATGGTAACGATCTTTCATAAGGCCCATTGATGAGCCGAGAAATGGAAGTTTTGGACTGCTTGGGAGCCCCAAAACTGAAGCCCATTTCTTGAACCCAAATATGTGGGTAAGCATAAAAGATAGAAGAATTAGCCCAATACTGTAGAAAAATTTGAACATCACCTTAATTAGATAGCCCATAACTTTAGGAAATTAGCCCATTCTCCTAATGGGCTAACCCATCACCTTAGGAAGGCCCAAATAGCCCAAGTGGCTTAGAAAATATCCAAAAATCTCCAGCACATGGTTTGAAATGAAACCACGATAGAAAACCAGGAGATGTTTGTACGCTCAGGCTGCTAGGAGACTTCAACACATGGCTAAAGACAAATCCAACGCAAGCCATTAGAAAAACCAAAGGGAATTCGTACGTGTAAGAGGAATACCCATTAGGCAAAACGACTCTACCCATTCTCTTTTCCTCTTAAGCTCTATTTTGAAAACCAAGGGAGAAAGCAGGTGGTGCCTCATCCCCATAGGAAGGTCCAGCCTCACAAAAAACCTTGGAACCTCAAAGAGCTTGTGACCCATCCGCTTTGGTTAAAGAAATTTCATCAAAAAGGAGTGAATGGAAAGAAGCAAAGGAAAAGTGGGAATGGAGGATTGATAGAATTAGGGTTCTAAGTGCCTATAAAATGGAGCTTCCTCTACCCAGCAAAAATCATCATCCAAAGTGCGACCAAGCTTTGTCAAGCAATTGGAAATTCACTCAAACCACATCCAGAGAGCAAGCTTCCTCTCTTACTTCCAAAAACTCTGCATTGAGGGTACTAAAACTACATCATCCAACTCCAAAATAAAACCAGAATCAAATTCAAGCTGCACTACTCCAATGGCTTCCACATCTACTTGCTCTCCATTCCCCACGAACACTTTAACTTCATGCTTTCTTGGTTCCCTCCTTCTTGTGAATTCCTGCACATTGTGAGCTATATGAATCGAGGTACTCGTATCTAACCACCAAGAATTAGAAGGAACATCCACTAAATTAGACTCAAAACTCACTAAGGCTAATTCTTCCTTACCTTTGTTCTTGTTCTTCTCAAACCACTTCTTGTAGTTGTTGCAGTTCTTCTTCATGTGACCTTCCTTCTGGTAGAAATAACACTTTAATTCAGTGGTAGGGGTCACGCCAACAAGGTTGTTCTTTTGAATCTAACTCTGCTTCTTTACTCCCCATTTTGCAGCACCCTTATTCTCATGCTTCTTGTCAGTAACCATGTTAACCACACCACCACGAGCTCTCGTCCTATTCTCCTCAAGAACAACAATTGTAATCAGATCATCCATTGTCCAATCTTCCTTCAGGGTGTTGTAGGTAGATTTCATCTGATCATAAGGCAGGGATTCCAACGCAATATGCACTAGATAGTTCGGGGCAATCGGTACCTTCAGCTTGCTCAACTTGGCAGCAATGTCCATGAGTCCCATGAGGTGTTCCCTTACGCTACCTCCTTCGAACTTCATATTGGCCAGCCTAGACATGAGATTCTTCATTTCAGCCTTACCAAATTCCTTAAATTTCCTTTCGATGAATTCCATAAACTCCTTAGCACTATCAGTTTCCGGAACTCCACCAAAAAGAGCTTTTGTCATGGTCTTCTTCATAACCAGCAAACAAACCTTGTTCGCCATCCTCCAAGCTTCATGCACCCTTTTAACTTCAGCAGGAGAATTTGCAACTGGCCTGGTCGGCTCATCTTGGGTGATAGCATAATCGATATCACTCATGCCTAGTGCAATATCGAGATCGAACTTCCATCGTTTGAAATTCGATTCGGTGAGAGTTTCAATTTGCGAGAAATTGATTGAGGGAGTGTTCAAAATTGTAGGGATTTACAAACAAAACATATTACTTTTCCAGAAACCGATTCTCAATTTGTTAAGAGAAAGCAGTTTAACTTAATTCACAAAACTAACATAATAACACATGTAAGGGTCCTTAATTAAGTATCACACCTTTGTGGCAAGAGATTACTTATAGCTTACACAAATTACATGTTATCTTGTGCCATCACAAATAAATCACATGATAGATTCTATTTGTTAAAGAAACTTACCAAGCAATTTAGGTATGATGCAATTTTTGGTTATTTCTTTAGGGTTTGAGTATTTAGTTTTGGTTTTGTTATGAAAAGTTTGTTGATTCTCAGAACAAATACAAACACATATCTGGCTCAGAAAATAACCAAACAAAACATAGTTCAACAAGGAAAAACCCTAAACTACAGTGAATAGTGAAAACCTGCGTGTTTTAGGAGATTTTGGTGTCCGTTTTTGACGCAAAATACCTTTCTGAATAGGGAATGACCTAACCTACACAACGTGTTTAAAGTTTTGGAAATAGGAAAAACAAATCAAACACATGCTTTTCCGAATTCTTTAATACTCTTGATATTTTCATAAACATGTTAATCCATCTTCAAAAATTAAAGTTTTGAAAATAGGAAAAACAAATAAAACATATATGAAATCATGGCAAGCATGCTTGAACAACGATTACAAATATGTGTGAACAACTTATATCTCTGATACCAAATGTTAGATTCTTTATATGCATGTTCTGGATCTTACACACAATCTGTAATACGTATAAAGATGTGACAACATACCTGGAGCCATCTTCCTTGAATACACAGCTTCTGAGTTCATCGTATGCGTAGCAGCAGTAATCCCAGCAAACAACAGGAACGGCTCAAGAGTTCTGCTCTCTCTCAGAAACTGTTTCAGCTCTCTCTTTATGATGAGAATATGTCAAGTCGTCTCTACTCATCACTAAGGCCGACTTGACTTATCTTTCAAGCCCACTTAAATTGGTTCACGCAAAAAGGAAACAAAATAGGACTCCTTAATTAGGCTCCAAAACCCTTCTTTATTTCACAAGGTTTTGGGCCTCAAGGCATAACTTAATTAAACTATTATTAAACCTATATGACTTAGTATCTAGTGCACCGATCTAAATAGGAAAACATAACATTTAGGATTTGGGTGTGAGGATTAAACTCTATAATTTCCTATTTAGATGAGGAACTCTGTAATTCCTGGGCTAGGTGATAGTGTTAATCTCTTTTGGTTGTATCTCCTTTGGTACTAGTGGAAATTCCTCGGCCTTTTCGAACTGGATGTAGGCTAAACACATGCTAAATCAATATAAATCCTTGTGTTCTTTGGATTTTTGTATTTGCATATTTGCCTTTGGTGATTCACACGTTTCATATTTGACTATCTTTTGAAACCCGCTCATGCATAACAATATGCATGTAAACAATAAAGTCATAATGGCTAGAAAGCTATGCGTGGCTTTAACTGTGGCGATTGTGAGGGGTTATTGTCCAATGACTCAATGTCTCCCATGGCTTCAAGTGCATGCACTTTGCTTTATATAATATAACATCACTAAAGTCACCATTTGGGTTGGGGTAAGTCCAAGAGTTTTGGCTAGCCTTGCCACATGATTCTCTGAATTCATAGTGGGGTCAGCGGACAAGATAACCTAATTAATTACGAACATATGCTCATCGTAGGAGGTTTCATAGTTTACGATACGGGTATCCAAGGGAGGGAGAAGAATGGGCTTTGCTTTTGTGAAAGGGTTCCTGAGTACTAACTACCACATGACGTCCTTGCACTGTTGTTGGATCTACATCTACTGGCCAACCAGCCATGAGCCACAACTCCTGCTATAAAAGGCACTTACAGTTTAGTAATATTGTTGTTGATTCTTCCTTCACAAATGCTATATCCTGCTTCAGGATCAAGAGCAAGGGGGAAAATTGTTTATTGCGCCACCGTTGTGTTGCATGATTATAGAGTTTGGTCAATGGGTTCTAATAACTAGTCTAAAATAAAAAAGACGAGTAAATCATAACTAAGGCTGTGTGTTTGGTCCATACCTTCCATGTAGTGGAGACAAATTTCACAAAGCGTTAGAGCAAATTTCTATAAAGATAAAAGAGAGAAACATACAGCAGCATATATGAGATAGAGTAATAGTCTGAATCTGCAAATTAAATGGACGCACAATATCTGAGAAAATTGAAGTTTAACCAACACGTCGGATTTTGTTACGTCCAAGTATCTATTTTATTAGCTATCTTATGCTACCTCATATAAGTATGTATACGTTTACTTGCTGAATGATCTAACTAAGGTGAACAAAAGGAAGCTCATGCGTTTCTATCTCAGCAAATTGAATCTCACTAACAAAGGGAAAAAAAATTTAAAATGAATGAATCCTCTTTGAGAGAGCATTGAAGCGGACTTCTCCTACAACATGCTTAATATAAGCAAGCATCATATCAACTTCTCTTCTGCTGAAGCCATGGAGTTCAATGTCTTCCACACTATCCATCAAACAAGTTGGCATAATTCTTGGAGTGGAGTTCCAAGCAAAGTTGATATTGTCATCCACATCTTTTCTCCGGACCATTCTGAGTTTCAATATCTACAAGCGAGGGGTTGCACTAAGCATGTAGGGGAGGACATCCCAGGCATAGTTGTGTCCAATCTCCAAGCTAATCGTTCTTGTGACGGTCATTGAAGGAAATATGGTTGCAAAATAGTTCCCAGCTGCCATTTCATCAGCACGAGACAAACGCATCCTCTTAAACATGAAACCGAGTGCCTGTAGAAAATGAGCACATTAATAAGAAGCACTAGCAAACAAGTAATAGAATGAGCACATTAATAAGAACCACTAGCAACCCTTGTTGCCTTTTAGTAGGAGAACAACTTGTTCTCCTATAAAAAGTATATTATAGCAGGAGGTTTATAAACACAAACTTTACTTAAATATAATCATAGTAGAAAATACTCTTGTGAGTATCTTACCTCAAGACATCCATCTCTCACAATCATCGACTTGGAAATTGGTGCCTCACTAGCAAAAGTAGAAATTACTTTCTTTGAAAGATCCCAAAGTTCTATGCCACTAAGATGCTCTCTGGTCTCGAAAAATCCGCTATTGAATCTCGCTTCTTGAAGGGTGGGCAACTCGTTGATCTTGAAAGTCGCAAACACAGTCTCATCAATTTCAAGAAATTCCAGTCTTGGGGCATGAATATGAAATTCATAACGATTGACAACAGACCAGTACACATCTTGACCTTTATGAAGATCTCGTCCTTTCTGAAGATTAAGTCTGATAACTAGCCTCTCAAGACTAACAGAATTTACCAAGAAAGTCTGTTTGCTTCACGGCTGTTCTACCACACTCCCTTCGATCCGCAAGTCTTGAAGCATTGGACACATGTGGTAAAATCCTAGCATGGATGGGTGTAATGGCCGAGATATGTCCACATGTATTTTATGCAATCCCGTGTGTGTTTCAGGAAGGATATCAATTACGAGACCTCGACCTATTTTCAGTACCTTTATATCCATGCTTTGGAACACCTCCAATGGTAGAGTAAATTCCAAATTCCCGTGACAAGCAACTGATATGTCCAAGACAATCACCGTTTTTTTAACAACGGATTGAATGAAATTTTTCAAGTGCTCGTGCGTTGCATACTTCCAACACCTCAACTTGAAGCTGAGCAAAGAAGGATGAAGAAGTTCTTCATTCATGCCTTTCCAAAAGGCGGATTCAAAGGCTGCAGAATAATCATCACTTGAACCACGTCCCCAAAATCGTTTCCAATAGTTGGACAGGCAAGTTGTGGACATCCCGTCCTTTGCCGAGAGGTGAGACACGATTTGATAGGGAATTCCATCCGGAAGGTCGAGGATCTTGTCAAATTTCACCTGATATAAAAGCCAAATCAGTCAGCAACTAGAAGCAATATGATATCAAGATGTTAATAAAACAATGCAAAGCACATATATTACAGTCCAGTCAATATTAATGAAAAGAAAAGAATATGAAATACTATAAACCACAAGAAAAAATCCATCTACTAACATTATTACATTTTACTATTTGCGCGACGAAGACAAATTCGTCGCACAAGAATCACTGATGCGACGGACGAACAGATTAGTCGCGCGAAACTACAAACTTTTGCGCGATGCAAAATTTTGTCGCGCAAAAATACTTTGAGCGACAAAATAACAAATCGTCGCGCAAAGTGGGGAAGAAAAACCTGGGAAATTTTTTTTGGAGCCAAACATTTGCGCGACGATATATTTCGTCGCGCAAGATTCCATGGCGCGACAGTCACCTTTTTCGTCGCGCAAAAGTGGACAGAGAACACTGCGATATGGATTTTTTGGCGGGAAACTCTTGCGTGACGGAAATTTGTTCGTCGCGCAAAGTGCGATGTCGGCAAGTTCTCGGGCGACAGAAATTTGTGTTTGTGCGACGCCGTTTAATGTTTGCGCAACGAATATTTACGCGACGAAGTGTATTCTTTCGTCGCGCAAAATTCCAATGTTGACAGGTCTTTGTGTGACGAAAAATGGTTATTTTATGTGACGAAAAAGTTGTTTTGCGCGACGAAGTGTACTCGTTCGTCGCGCAAAATTCCGATGTTGACAAGTCTTTGAGCGACAAAAAATGGTTATTTTATGCGACGGAAAAGTTGTTTGCGCGACGAAACATATACTTCTTCACGCAAACTTCTTCTTCTACATATCTGCATTTCGCCATTGCAGAGTCAGAATACAAAGAAAATTTTCAAAATCTGTATGTACTGTGCTGCGCTGCTGTCTTTGCTGGGAATTCAATACGCTCATTGGGTAAATATTATTTGTCGTTTGTTTGAAAGTATTAATGTAAATTCGTACTAACGGTATTAATTTTGTTCTCATTATAGACATCTGTAATTTGCTATTGTGGAGAACGATTGAGAATGTATGTTATTCATTTTATATTACATTATTTACATTATGTTGAACTTAGTTTGTTATAGTTATATTTTTTGTTGTGAAATTGTACTTATATTATGTTGTTAAATTGTGCGTGTCATAGCACAATGTGGTGTGATGTACGAAATTAATTGAAATTAACTTCGTACTTTTATTATTATTGTTTAGTAACACTTAGTTTCCCGTTCGAGATTAGTTGGATTTCGTGCATGGATGCGTAAAGCTTGACTGCGGTCCAATTAATTCTTGAATTGTCCTATTATTTGGACAGTTTGGTAATGCATAGTGTTGTCACGTAATCTACAGCTACAGGATTAGGTTTGATTGTGGAGATTTCAGTTTCATCTCGGTACGTTCTTCGGGTGGTACGTAGGTATTTATACATATGGCCACCTCAAGAACTATATTGAGATGCTGGCGAAATTCATCCACATCGAAATCTAATCTCATGTAGCCGTAGGTTACGTGGCAGGACTATGCATTCCCGAATGGGATAGAGCCCTTACCAGAGGCATAAGGTGACATTATAACTTTGTATGAAGTTGTTGTGATTCTGGTTTCAGGAATTATGGACAGAAGGTGGATATAGAACCCGAACAGATGCGCAAACGAATACTTGGATGGAATCGAGGATTTTATTGAGTTTACACGTAGACACAACCCGGGTGCAACTAGAATCCATTGTCCTTGTAGGAGGTGTAACAACACGTTGTGGGAGACAATTGAAAATGTTGGATTTCATTTAGTAAGGAATGGAATGATTGAGACATATAGCATTTGGAACCTTTACGAGGAACAATTAGAGCATGCTTCGTCTTCAAATGCCACAAGAGTGGACAATGTTGAACCAATTGTGGATGCGAATGATCAAGTCATGGATATTATATAGGATGTTTTTCCATTTGCATCGACCAAATCAATCAAGAAGAGGAAGATGACGTGCATACACCAATAGACAGTGTGGAGTTTGAACAATATGAAAAATTGTTAAAAAATGCCAACCAAGAGTTATACCTGGGGTGCGAGAGCTTTTCCGTTCTCACGGCCATTGTGGAGCTAATGCACGGAAAAATAAAGTATCGTATGTCGAACCTGTGTTTCGATTACTTTTTGGGGTTTTTCAAGAGAATGCTTCCGACGGACAATTGTTTGCCGAAAGACCATAAACACGCGCAGAGGGTGTTGAATGGTCTGGGATTGGGTTATGAAAAAATTCTTGCTTGCAAAAACAATTGCATGTTATTCTACAAAGAGCATGAATCGTTGGATACATGTCCTATATGCAATGAGTCGAGGTCCAAGATGACATCTCAGAATAGGACGACTAAGATCCCACAAAAAGTCATGCGTTATCTGCCCCTGAAACCTAGGTTGCAGCAATTGTATATGTCGACGCATACTGCCACAGACATGAGATGGCATAAGGAAAAACGGGTAGACGATGATGTGATGCGGCATCCTGCAGATGGGGAGGCATGGAAAGAGTTTGATCGAACGTTCCCGAGTTTGCTGCTGATCCCCGAAATTTTAGATTGGGACTTGCCACTGACGGATTCAATCCGTATGGGGTTCTAAACCAACACCACATCACTTGGCCGATTTTCGTATTCCCATATAATTTTTTGCCTTGGAAATGCATGAAAAAAGAACACATGATGATGACTGTTTTGATAACTGAGGATCCTGGCAAGTCAATCGATGTTTACTTAAGGCCGCTGGTTGATGAGCTGAAGGATTTATGGACAAACGGTGTTCGCACGTACGATAAATCAACTGGGAAGATATTCACTTTGCGAGCAGCAGTTATGTGGACTGTGAATGATTTCTCAGCATATGCAATGGTTTCTGGGTGGAGCACAAAGGGTTATATGGCATGTCCTGTATGCAAGGAAGATGTAACTTATGGTTGGCACGCTGGAAAAGTTTGTTACCTTGGTCATCGGAGATGGTTGCCATGGGACCACGAGTGGAGGGAAAAAGATAAATAGTTTAACGGGAACACAGACCATCGCCTCAGACCTAGAGAATGGTCCGGTGATGAGATATTGGACCAGCTTAACCTGTTGGATTTTGCTTCGTTCGAGGAAAACAGTTAGTCGGATCAGACCTTCTACACATATGAACTGGACGCACAAGCTTATGTTTTTTGAGCTCACATATTGGTCGAAACTCAAATTAAGGCACAATCTAGATGTGATGCATGTTGAGAAAAATATATTCGACACATTGGTGGGCACGATTCTAGATATCGAGGGCAAGACAAAGGACACGATCAAAGCTCGTCTTGATTTGGAAAGAATGGGCATACGAAGGGGTTTATGGATGAATAGAGACAGTGATAAAGCTAGAAGGGATCTTGCATTCGGTTTGCATTCTTTTATATGAAACCGAATGACAAGAAAGAGTTTCTGAAGTTTGTATCGTCTGTAAAGTTTCCTGATGAGTACGCTTCTAATATCGCACATTGCGTTAATATTGACGGGGGTAAATTTACTGGACTTAAGAGCCATGACTGCCATGTGTTTACGCCTACTTTCTATGGGTATTCGACACCTATTGCCGGAAGATGTAGTGAAGCCAATCATTTTGTTGTCCAGATTTTTTCCCAACTGACGGCAAAAACATTGCGAAAGACAGACATGTTTCAGTTGCGCCATGACATTGTCCAAGTCCTATGCAAGTTTGAGATGATATTTCCTCCAGCTTTCTTTACAAGTATGATGCACGTGATGGTTCACTTGCCAGAATAGGCATTGCTTGCTGGTCCTGTCAACTATCGCTGGATGTATCCAATAGAAAAGTATATAATCCTTATCGTTTGTGTATGCATCATTATCACATGCTTCCTAATTTGTATCATATCGTTTTATTTTGGTAGGCTTCTCGGAGAGCTAAAAAAAGTGTACGCAATAGGGCGAAACCCGAAGGATCAATTGTAGAGGCTTGGGTTCAATATGAGTCGCTTACTTTCTGTGGAATGTATTTAAAAGATGTGGAGACGGTTTTCAATCGTCCTCAACGCAATCATGACGGAGGTATGAGAAATGAAAAACTTTCTGTTTTTGCCCAAAGTGCACGACCCTTTGGAGATCCTGGATGAGGAGAGTCGTTTTCTAGAAATGACATGGAGGTAGCGCATTGGTTCGTACTGAACAATTGTGATGAGATCATGGCATACTTATATGAGCATGAAGAGATGATGAAGCGAGAACATCCATCGCATTTGCCCAGAAACACCGTGAATTGTTTCCACAATGGTTTTTGGATTCTGTAAGTTATAAGTGTTTTTATTTGAGAAATATAAATTGTAGTATTTAATTTTGTTAGACTAACATGTGAATGGTTTTGTATAATATTAGGTGAATAAGTTGAAATCATCGAATTCCCCTTCTGCAACACGCCTTCCCTTTGAAATAGACCTTGCTTTTGAACCATTTCATCATTTTTATAGTAGAAGGAGCAATACTCTTTACAACGAGATTATAATGTGGAGATTGTGTGCGGAGGTTATTTGCGGGGGCTACTTACTGGGCCATTAGATTGATCAAATGGCTAATGTTAGTATCCTCTTTATGCTACACCCGGGTTGGCATTACCCGTTGAGCAATGCTATTCGCAATCGAAGTGCTCAATGTATTCTCCTCTTTTTTTTTAATTATTGTTTCTCTACCTTCTTGTCTCTATCTCTCTCCCTTTCTTTTTTTAATTAGTTTTTCTCTTTTCTCTCGGTTGCCTCCCTCTTTCTTTTATTATTCTTCTCTCCGTTGCCTCCCTCCTCCTGCTTCTTCTCCTTCTTAACAAACGGGGCTAAGCACAGATAACAACTAAACACAGATCAATCTAGGCTAGTTATTTTATTTCCTCCGCCAGTTATTTTCTTCCTTTTCCCTCTCCATCCTCATATTTCTCTTGTTTTTTCCATTCGTTTCTCCACACAAAAATTCTGCATTTCTCTCCTTTTCTCTATGACGTGGCTGATTTATATATACTAGGAATTGAGTTTTTGTGTTTATGATTCCCACAGTTTTTGATTCCAGCTTAATAAGTAAAAATAAATGATTTTTTGTTTTGAGGGGAGAACAACTCCAATATTTGGCCTTTACCCAAATTTTCACACACACATACCCAGAGTTTGATGAAGATCGACGGAGAGAAGAACATATGGAGAGAAAGAGAGAGAGTTATTTGAGAGGGAGTGAGAGAATTAAAAAAAGTAAGAGAGTTTCAAGTTACAATGGTGATCTGGGAGTTCATCTCTTTGATAATGCCCTTAAGTGATTGGTTTCAACTCTCGCAGATGATATTGCTGGGGTTCACCCGTCTAGTCTGTATTAATTGTTGACGTAGAAAAATGGTTTGGCACTTTCCTGCCCAACTTAGAGATATTGGGCCTTCGGTATGCTCTGGGCCTCGGTAGGGCGTTCGATATGCAAGATAGCAAACGCTCGGTAAGACCTAGGGCACCGGTGTGGTACTGGCCGAAGGCTCTCCGATGCTTAAGTAAGTACGAATTTAGTAAGTTTGAACTACAGATCAATAAGCAATATGCCATAAGTTCTGATTGATTACCTCCAAGCTGGGATAATTGTCCTCTTTTATAGGCCTTGGGAGGTGTGCAATTTGTTTAGAGTTTCGATGTGGGACTATGGACATCAATTGTGGGACTGCCACATGTCCCTGGGGGCGAAGTTGCCCTAATTGTGCGATCGATAGGCACGGTACTGAAGCTAGGTGCCGAAGGCTCCCATAGCTTTAGTTTGGTCCACGTGTCCAATGCTCATTGGCTGTTCATTTTGGTATAAACATTAATCTTGTTTTAAGTGTTGTTTCTGGGGCTTGGTCCCCTTTAGCTCATTAAAAAGAGAGAGAGAAAGAGAGAGAGAGAGAGATGGAGGCAAGAAGAAAGAGAACCATAAATTTTATTTATTTTAAAAAAAATTTTTTTAAAAAAAAAAAAAAAAAAAAAAAAAAAAAAAAAAAAAAAGAATTGAGAGAATACGTATACACGTGTATATGCAAGTACTTTAGACAAAGTGAATAGCATTGCTCTTACCCGTTTTTAAAAAACCCAGCTCCTGCAATCAAGGGTGCGTTTCCCAATTGAACGCATTCCAAGGTGAGTCAGAATGAAGATTTAAAAACAAAAACTACATTTAGAAAATTTAAAGGAAGAAAAGTTATTTCCCCCCTCTAAAATTCGTCCTTTTCTCCTTCCTCCCCCTCCCATCAACTGAGAACCATAGCTAACATTCCTCCAAGCTATCCAAGAAAAACCTGTCAATAATGAAATCTTAGAAATAAAAGAAAAGAGAGAAATTGATTAGCACATGAAATGGTCTCTTCGCAAGGCAAAATAACAATAAAAAAATAATTTAAGGTAAAAAACATTAATAAATATTAAGGTTAAAAAGTAATATAATAATAATTTATGATAAATAACAATAAAATAATAATGTAGCATAACCATGATCTAGGGAATTCAGTAAGGAAGATGGAGTCTCAATGATTTCGTAGCAATTTTTGGAACATTTTTTTTCAATTTTTGTGTATTTAGTTATGAATTTTGTAAGAAAAATTAATAAAATAATAATTTATGATAAAAAGCAAGGATGTGGTCATGTTGACTGATGTACACATGTGCAACTGCTGAAAGGTGATGCACTCAGGTCGCGCCATGTGTCTATTGCGTTTATTTTGACTTTTTTAGTGCAAAATTCTTGAAAAAATGTTAATAAATAGTAGGAAAATCGAAAAAAATGCCCCGAAAATTGCTCCGGCCTCCTTGTGACGTTATAAAACTTGGGGAAGCTATAAATCATCCATTTCATAATGAAAAAATACAAAAACCTTTTGATAACTCACTTTCCTCTCAACCCTAGCTATATATCCTTATTAACTTCAACTTCAATAACTTACATCAACAAATATCTCCCGTGAATGTTCGGAATCGTTTTTTAAAATGCATAACCATGATCCAGGGAATTCAGTAAGGAAAATGAAGTCTCAATGAGTTCGTAGCAATTTTCGGAACATTTTTTCAATTTTTGTGTATTTAGTTATGAATTTTGAAAGAAAAAAGTAATAAAATAATAATTTAGGGTAAAAGGCAAGGATGTGGCCATATTGACTGACGTACACGTGTTCAACTGCTGAAAGGTGATGCACTCAGATCGCGCCATGTGTCCTATTGCTTTTATTTTGACTTTTTTTAGTGCAAAATTCTTGAAAAAATGATAATAAATAGTAGGAAAATCCAAAAAATGCCCCGAAAATTGCTCCAACCTCCTTGCGACGTTATAAAACTTGGGGAAGCTATAAATCATCCATTTCATAATGAAAAAAATACAAAAGCCTTTTGATAACTCACTTTCCTCTCAACCCTAGCTATATATCCTTGTTAACTTCAACTTCAATAACCTACATCAACAAACATCTCCCGTGAATGTTCGGAATCATTTTTTAAAATGCCTAACCATGGTCCAAGGAATTTAGTAAGGAAGATAAAGTCTCAATGAGTTCGTAGCAATTCTCATAACATTTTTTCAATTTTTGTGTATTTAGTTATGAATTTTGTAAGAAAAAAGTATTAAAATAATAATTTAGGATAAAAGGCAAGGATGTGGCTATGTTGATTGACATACACTTGTGCAACTGCTGAAAGGTGATGCACTCAGGTCGTGCCATGTGTCCTATTTCATTTATTTTGACTTTTTTAGTGCAAAATTCTTGAAAAAATGGTAATAAATAGTAGGAAAATTAAAAAAATGCCCCGAAAATTGCTCCGGCCTCCTTGTGACGTTATAAAACTTGGGGAAGCTATAAATCATCCATTTCATAATGAAAAAAATCCAAACACCTTTTGATAACTCATTTTCCTCTCAACCGTAGCTATATATCCTTATTAACTTCAACTTCAATAGCCTACATCGACAAGCATCTCCCGTGAATGTTCAGAATTTTTTGATAACTCACTTTCCTTTCAACCGAAAAAAAATATTTTTGCAATAACCAACGTTACAAGTATATTTCCTTAATGTTCATTATCTAATTTTTAATAATACAAATATTAGTTTCCTTTCATATATAAAGGCTATAAAAGTATCTGTTTTGTTATAATAATTAGACAATGGTTTGAAGTCATCATGAATGCGTTATCTTTGAACATGTCAAAGGTTTTCAATAAGTTGTCAATATGACGCCGCATGGGGAATCAATAAAGTATCTCTATCATGTCCAAACACATAAAATGATGGCGTACTTTTTCTTGAAAAACCTCACACATCAGTCAAAAGCATTTTTAAAATATTACTGAATATTTATCATCGTTTATATGAGTGACTATATATTCACTATAATTTTTTTTCTCAGTATATGTTTACTTTGAGGGATTCCACAAACATATAATATAGCTGAGTTCTTCAGAACATTCTGTGGTGTGTATATATACATATATATATATATATATATATAGAGAGAGAGAGAGAGAGAGAGAGAGAGATTTGATCAAGTATTTAGGGGTTTTGACAAAATTTTGAAATCCCCTTTACGTCCCCTGATCAGGTATTTGATCAGGTATTGAGGGGAAGAGAGAGAGAGGGAGTTGTAGGTTTTTTAATATTTTTTTATAATACATTTTAAAATTTTGAAAATAATCTTTTAGCTTGTAATACAATTTGTTTTAATTTAAATTATATTTAAAATATATTTTTTCATTTAAATCCACGTGATATTGCAAAATAATAGTCATTTAGGATAAAAAGCAATATAATAATAAAATAAAATTTTGGTACAGAGGTGAGTAATATAATAATAATATAGGGTAAAAAGAAATATAATAATAATTTAGGGTAAAAGAAATATAATAACAATATAGGGTAAAAACTAATATAGTAATAATTTAAGGTAGATAATAATAGTTTATGGTAAAAAGGAATATAATAATAATTTAGGGTTAAATGTAATATAATAATAATTTAGGGTAAATAACAATATAATAATAATTCACGATCCACACAATATAATAATAATTTAGGGTAAATAATAATATAATAATAATTCACAATCCACACAATATAATAATTATTTAGGGTAAATAACAATATAATAATAATGAAATGTGGCGCAATCGTAGGATGCCATCTGTCGAAAATAATGACAGCTCTCCTTACTGGGACTGCCACGTGTGATTCCCTATAATTTAATATTATTTTTTTGGGATTTAACTTCTAAATTCATAATAAATAAATTAAAAATCTAAAAAATACACCAGAAAGTCCTATATACCCCTTTTGGCATTTTCTATGCCCTCGAACTTTGAAAATATAACTTCCACTTATAAAAATATAAACTGATAACAAAAACTCAACTTTGTTTCTAAACAATTCAAAACACTAGTTAATGTTTCATAACATAACACTCAAGTTATTTGATCAAACGATTTTTGTAAGCTCCAATATGTTAAATCATGATTTTGGACCTCCATAATCAAGGATGATGTCATGAGGAGTTTGTAGCAATTTTCGATGTATTTTTATGATTTTTAATTTATTTATTATGCATTTTAAAATTTAAATACTAGAAAAATAATATTAAAGGGTATAGACCAATTGTGGGTCGCCACTTGTTGAGGGAAACACTGACGACACCACCTTCAGTTGCTGCCACATGTCGCTCAGTATGATTTAATATTATTTATCTTGAATTTAACTTCTAAAATTCATAAAAAAATTAATTAAAAATCCAAAAAATACATAAAAAAATTCCTAGAAACTCCTTGTGACATTCTCTACACCTTCAAGCTCTAAAAGTATAATTTTGAGTTATACAGATGTAAATTAATAATAAAAACTCAACGTTGATTCTAAGCAGTCTAAAACATTAGTTGATGTTTTATAACCTAATATTCGTGTTCTTTGATCCATGATTACCATGAACTCAAATATGTGGAATCTTTATTTTCAATCTCCAGAGTCGAAGATAATGTCATAAGGAGTTTGTAGCAATTTTCGTTGTATTTTTATTATTTTTTAATGAAATTTTAAAGATAAACTTTAAAAAAAATCAAAACAACATGTGAAGCAATCATGGGACGCCACCTGTTGGATAATGGCGCCATCTTCAGCTGCTGCCATGTGTTGCCCTATACTATTTCATATTATTTCATGAATTCAACTTCTAAAATTCATAATAAATTAATTAAAAATCCAAAAAATACAGAAAACAATTTCTAGGAACCCCTTATGACATGCTATACACCCTCAATATCTTAAAGTATAAATTTTAAATTATAAAAATATAAAATGATATCGAAAACTCAAATTTGTTTCTAAACAATATAAAATATTAGTTGATGTTCAATAACTTAACACTCATGTTCTTTGATCCAACACCTTAAACTCAAATAAGTGAATCATGATGTTGGACCTCCATAATTGAGGATGATGTTGTGAGGAGTTTGTATCAATTTTTGGTGTATTTTTCTGATTTTTAATTTTTAAAAAATAATTTTTAAAGATAAACTTGAAAAAAGTAATCAAAATGATATGTGGCGCAATCGGAGGACGTCACCTGTTAGAAACACTGACAGCGCCACCTTCAGCGTTGCCACTTGTCAGCCTATACCATTTAATAGTATTTTTCTTGGATTTAATTTCTAAAATTCATAATAAATTAATTTGAAATCCCAAAAATACACCGAAAATTCCTATGAACTTCTTGTGACATTATCTATGTCATCAAGCGCTAAAAATATAATTTTTATATAAAAATGTTAAGTGATAACAAAAACTCAACTTTTTTTCTAAGTAATTGAAAATACTAGTTGATGTCCTATAATATAATACTCATGTTCTTTAATCCAATGATTACCTTAAACTCAAGTACGTGAATCATGATTTAGACCTCCATAATCAAGGATGATGTCTTGAGGAGTTTTTAGCAATTTTCGGTGTATTTTTCTGATTTTTAATTATTTTTTTAAAGAATTTTAAAATATAAAATTGAAAAAGAAATCAAAATGACATGTGGAGCAATCGTTGTACGCCACCTGTTGGAAACATTGACGGCACCACCTTCAGCTACTGCCACATGTTGCCATATACTATTTAATATTATTTTTCCTAGATTTTACTTATAAAATTCGTAATAAATTAATTACAAATCTAAAAAATACACCAAAAATTCCTAAGAACTCATTGTGACATTCTCTACACCGTCAAACTATAAAAGTAAAATTTTCACTCATAAAAATGTAAAGTGATAATGTAAACTCAAATTTTTTTAAAACAATATAAACCACTAGTTGATGTTTTGTAACTTAACACTCATTGGTCTTTGACCCAACGATTACCTTGAACTCAAATATGTGGAATCATAATTTTGGACCTCCATAATCGAGGATGATGTCGTGAGGAGTTTGTAGCAATTTTGGTATATTTGTATGATTGTAATTTTTTTTTAAAGATAAACTTGAAAAGTAATCAAAATGATATGTGGTGCAATCATGTTACACCACTTTTTTGAAACACTGACGGTGCTACCTTTAGCTGCTGTCACATGTTGCATATAATATTTAATATTATTTTTCTTGATTTTACTTCTAAAATTCATAATAAATAAATTAAAAATCCAAAAAATATACCAAAAATTCTTATGAACTCCTTGTGACGTTATAAAACTTAGGGAAGCCATAAATCATCCATTTCATAATGAAAAATCCAAATGCATTTTGATAACTCACTTTCCTCTTAACCCTAGTTATATATCTTTGTTAACTTCAACTTCAATAACCTACATCAACAAGCATCTCTCGTGAATGTTCGGAATTTTTTGATAACTCACTTTCCTTTCAACTGTAAAAATATATTTGCAATAACCAACATTACAAGTATATTTCCTTAATGTTCATTATCTAATTTTTAATAATACAAGTATTAGTTCCCTTTCATATATAAGGCTGTAAAAGTATGTGTTTTGTTATAATAATCTACATATATAATAATTGAACAATGGTTTAAAGTCATCATGGGTGCGTGCATCTAAATCTTTGAACACGTCAAAGGTGTTCAATAAGTTGTCAATATGACATCGCATGGGGAATCAATAAAGTATCTCTATTAGCCAATCACATAAAATGATGGCCTACTTTTTCTGGAAAACCTCACACATCAGTCAGAAGCATTGTCCAATCACATAATATTTCTCCTTGTCTATATGAGTGATTATATCTTCACTCTAATTTATTTTTTTCTCAGTATATGTTTACTTTGAGGGATTCCACAAACATATAATATAAAGAAATATAGCAAAAGTAGTAGAAGAACAAATACAAACAACAACATATAACTAGTACGAAATAATCCCATAGCCTTATCACAAAATTTCACGTATCCTTCAGATAGCAATGTTTACAAAATCGTGCACCAAAATCGTGGACTATTGGAGTTTTTGTATTGCCAATGTATAGCCTCCTATTGCCCTAGAATTGGCACTATATAGCCTCCAATAGCCTTCATTTTGCCGTTGCATTGCCCCTAATTGCCTTTATATTGCCACTGTATTGCCCACAATTACCTTGTATTGTCCCCGTATTATCATAAAAGGCAATATATGGCTATACAAAGACAATGAACAATCAATACACAATTGATAAGCTTGCAATAACAAGCAATAGAAGAACAATATACACACAATATACACCGAATGTATATAATGTCTTTTCTCAAAAAGGATGTGACAGCTTTTCATGTGCATTGTCAAAATTAAGAGTTGATAGGTCCAACTGTCATAAAAAAATCCAAATTGATGAAGGTTCTCAACGACAACAATCTTTCATAAGCCAAAAATCTAGGTCCAACTGCCACAAAAAAGAGTTGTCAAATATCTCAAAAGGGAGATTATTTAAAAGAAAGAAAAATCCTAAAACACCTAACGTTAGAAAAATACAAAGGCAAAAGAAAGCAAGAAATAAAGGCTCCAAAAAATTAACACCACCAATTGAGAAACAAAAAAACTTCAAAGAAAACCAAAACCAATCAAGAAAAAAAACACAAAAGCTGATACAAAACGAAACAACACAAAATAATAAGATTTCTTCATATTGAATCATATTTCAAAATGCTCACCAATATTGATGGCAAATGAGCTTCGTATAGTAAAAACATAAATCACTTGGTAGGTCTATGCATGCTATCAAATTCATCGAATAACAGGTCACTAAGATTGATCAGAGTTGATTCTTCATTGTTTGATGGGGATGTCCTGCATAAACACCAAGCATAATATTACAATAAAATAAACCACTTGGAATTTTACCTATTATTTATAAATATTTGTACAATCTTACGGTGTGTTCGCCATTCTTGGACATCGTCTTATATCATGACTAGTTTGTCCACACTACTGACAATGTCGGATCCCTCGCTCCATTCTCGTTTCCTTTGCTCCCTTTACTCGTTTCGAGCTTCCTTTGTGCGTTACTCTCTTAGGGTCCTTCAAATATCGTGTTTGGGAGCTGGACCCTCCAACTTCCCTCGGACCAACCCCATCATTCAATAACTTCAACTTCATCCGCGTATCGTTTAGATTATTCAACAATAGCTCACAACCTTCTTCAGACATTAAGGCATGCTCAATTACATATGAAGCAAGTCTGGACATTCTACTTCGCTTTATTAGGAGAGAATTGTTCTCACAATCTTTAATTTTATTGCCATTTGAATATGACACAAGTCCAAATTTTGCAGTTTTCTTCCATCTATTCAAAATGTATTTATTGGGCAGATATTCAATTTGCTCCCTTTTTAACAATGCCAGCGCATGGCAACAAAGAATTCTAATAAATTCAAATCCTTTACAGTTACACGACCATTGATCGGAATATTTATCATATACAACTTCTGTCACTCTTGTTTTCCCCTTTTTCCTTTCACTCACTTTATAGATAGCTTTGGAAGCGTCATCCATTTTCAGTTCCATAAAACACGGTAAACTTTGCATTAGCTCCTATTCAAACTTTTGGAACATTGCCTTTATGTATATTTCAGCCATTTGTTTATCCATTGTCATTAATAGAGCACATTGAGGCTTTTCAAATGCATCAATGTGATCAGCAAGTAACTCTTTTGACGTTGATGGGAAAGTGCCCTTTGAAATCGTGTTATGAAATCCATTAATGAATTTCTCCTTGATATATATGCTTGAAAAATACACGAGAGCCTTCTGCTATTTGACTGCTTGACATTCCAGTGGCAAAAAGATGTTTTACATAGGCTGGAACCCATGATTTTCGAAAATCAAAAACTGAACTCAGCCATGGATGGTCAGTCAAACTAGATTTTGTAATGATTGCATGCCACTTTTCTTCAAATTCATCTATATTGTCAATCTCCCATATGGTTTCCTTAAACTCTTCTCAATATTCCTCATAAGCAGTCCATGGTAGTTTATCAGAGAACTTGGTTGTGATGTGCCATATGAAAAGTTGATGAAATGTAGTGGGGAATACTTCAAAAATCACTCTAGCCATAGCTGCATCTTGATCTGTAATGATCATTTGTGGCTCACCACCTGGCATGGCTTTCTTAAACTCCTCAAACATCCCAATAAATGACTCAGTCGTTTCCTTACTTAAAAATGCACAAGCTAAAACAATTGTCTGACCATGGTTATTAACCCCCAACATTGGTGCAAATGGCAAGCCATATCGGTTCGTGTTGAATGTGGTATCGAGCACGACAACATCTCCATAAAATCCGTATGCTCGTTTAGAAGTTGCATCTGCCCAAAAACATCGAGTAAGCCTGTCATTGAAATCTCCCTCAATCTTGAAATAAAATGATCTATTGTTTTTATGTTCAGCTAAAAAATACTCAGTCACTAGTTCAACATCATGGTTCTTCATCAGGCTACTCTCATAATATTCAAAATTGTAAATATCCTTTTTGGTAAAACCAATTTTCTCATTTCTGACTTTAGCCGATAAAGCATATCTATTGTAGAAATCATAAACAAAATCAAGTGAATCGAACTTCATCCCAACTTTTGGTCTTTCCTCATTTCTGACTTCAGGTATGTAAATCATTTCATCAGCAATTACACAATCATCGTTCTCCTTTGAGTCCCCAACCATTTTACTCACATAGATTATTGATACCTTAGATAACATTTGAATCAAACATTTCAGAAATAGCTAAAACAAAACAAATAATTATGAAAGCAATTTAAATCTTGTACCATCATCAGTTGAAAACAAAGACATTTATAATGATTTAAAAAAAAATTACCAGCAACAAATCCAAGAATTTGAATGCAACACCCCTATGTTATGGAGCAAAATTGATCCTTCTGTTTTTGCTTTCCATTTAATGTCTCCTCCATGTTGATTCAATTAAACTTTTCCATAAGAGCACATATGGAAAATTAAGATGCAAACTTGTGTCAACCTGTAGCAGATTATCAATTATTAAAGAGTCATAAAATAAATTTAGGCAGGACAAACCCAAGATATTTTTAGAGAACTTGTTTTTACTGTATGTATGCAAGACCCATAAAGATCACCATTAGATTAACGTGTTTTTATTTTCATTATTTATTAATTATTGATTCAACAAAGCTTAAAGCCAATATACTACAGGCATCATAATAAAACCCAAAGCAGTAAGGAGTTCAACGCAAGAAAGAATATTTATGTATGAAAATAAAATAAAAACTGTAAAAATCAATTTTTCAAATGAAATATAAATACAAAAGATAACAAAAAATAAAAATGATTACAAGAAATTGGAAAACATTAAAAGCAAAATCAGTGAAACAAAGAAACAAAGAGAAGTGGTTTTACAGTGTTTGACTTACCATCGCAATTGGAGTTGAAGAAGAGTTCTGCAAGTTCTTCAAAACTTGGGTTTTACTTGTTCAAAAACGGAATGCAAAGTTAGGCGAGTGAGAGACTACTTGAGGCTCTTTCAACATATCATGTGTCTCTTTTTCTTCTTTTCTCTCTACTATGAAGATCTTGCAAATAATTTTTGTGACACAGACAGAATAAGAGAGCTCTTAGGTTATAGTTGTTGTAATGGGTAATGATGAACCATTTTCTGCAACATTAATGACATGGGTTTAACAAAACATAATATTTTTTGAATAAAAGGGTTTGCAATAGGGTTGAAAAATCACATACCAGTGAAAGAATTGAGTTATGGGTTTCAACCCTTGTTCCTTCTCCTTCAGTAACGTCCTCCACAGTTGAGTGTCCTCGTTTTTTTCTTTTTGGAGCAGCAAATTCGGCTTCTGGAAGTTGGAAAGGGGCAGCTCTTGTTTGTCTCCAAAGGAAGTTTCAGGCATAAGACTTTGGACCTCTGTTTCAAAGAAAAGAGGAGATATGAGAGAGAAGTTCCGGGTTGCTCATTTTGTGATGGGTAATTTTAACCCGGTTGTAACAAAACTTCCTACTTAAATCTGAACCGTTCATTTGAAACCGACGGTTATTATCATTCCGCACATAACCTCCTCATAATAACCTTTGCATTCTAGCAGTTCCCTACTCTAGAACCCATGTTTTAATTGCAGACCATATCTCAAGCCCATCCGCAGCATATGGATAGTCCTCTATCAGTAAGCGTACACTGTGTGACGATTTTGGATCTTTAACCACCATTCCTCTGAACATAGCAAAGGTTAGATAATTAAAAGCCATCAAGCCTTTCATCTTTGTTGTTTTTGAGACTAGAGTTTAGAACATAATGACAACATTCATCAAATCTTTTAGACCATTTAATTGTATTCATTTTTCCCTATAACATTGTGTCTTCGCTCTAATATTTGAGTTTCATCCATTGCCGAAATTTTTAGATGAAAAACGTTATGATCATAAGATTTTACCTTTTGATGGGATCAAAGGGAAGCGCTTGTTCAGGAAAGACCCAGTTCTTGTACATTACAGACGACCAATGGAAAGTCAAGACATATCAGGCCAGGCATAATACAATTAGACAATTGCTCTTAAATGGAATTATATCCATTGACTACGTGAAGTCAAAGGAAAATATTGCAGATCCTTTAATAAAAGGCCTACCAAGAGAGCAAATCAAATTTACATCGAGGGGAATGAGATTAAAGCCAATCCAATGAATCAAACATGGCGGAAACCTAACGTAGTTGATTGAAGATCCCATGGTCTAAGTTCAATAGGCAAACTGGTTGGGTAAGATTCAAAAGTTGAACACACAATTCAACTCATTCCTATGATGGTTAGTGTGTTGTATGTTGATGTGAAGGTTATGCTTTGCATTTAATGACACTAATATCTTATTAAGAGGAGTTTAGGTAGAAAAACTCTAAATTGGTGTCACCTATATGGGAGTAAATGTGGGGTCTCATTTATGAGAACGAAAAAAAAAGGCTAAGTTCTCTAAAGCTCTCATTAAACCGAGGATATGTTCAGGACCAAAATGAACAAAAAGGTATGAATTAACGTTTGTTAAGATGTTATATGTGTGAGACATATTGTCTAGGTTTACTATAGCGGTGAACAGTTCAAGATCAATTATATCCACTGTGTCACCAAGTAAATCTAATATGTTTTCACTAGGGTAAGTTCAAGTCCAAAAGACACTTTTCTTGATATATAACATTTGCTTCCTCTCAAATGCATTACATTCATTTAGCACTATAAGTATAACATTTCAAATGTGGGGTCTAGAATTTCGATTCAAATGTGGGGTATTGTTGAAAGTTTGAATGAAATTCAAGAACATTTGTCCCACATTGGTAGAAAGTAGAAAAAGTGAGGTCTTTATAAATGTGGAAGTCCCACACTTAGTAAATGGAAGTGGGACAAGTGGAAGTACATTGGGCTTCGAAAACGATTTGGGTTTTGAATATTATATAAAATTATATAATATTTAGTGGTCAAAAAGATGGGCCTTGGGGCACTTTCATATTTAAATTAATTTTTTTTATTAATTCGGATTAGTTAAATTAATTGTTTTCTAACAGTTGTGACTCTTCTAATAAGGTTTCAGAATTTTATTTAAATCGAACAATGGGCTCATTCGGGAGTGCTTTTGGAGAAGCGAAAAGCGCTTCTAAATGGGTGAAAGCGCTTCTGTCTTTTAAAAATGGTGTTTGGCAAAAATTGCAAAAGCGCTTTTGGTGAGATCCAAAAGCACTTGGAGTGGTTTTGGAAGAAGCACTTGAGAGGTGCTTCTTCTTAAAAGCGCTGCAGGACAAAAACAAGGGAAGCACTTGGCTCATTTTAATGAAACTTTTAAAATGCCGAAGATACCCATATTTAATTTTTTTAAATGCCAAAATACCTTTCTTTCTTTTTTTCTCTCTCTTTTTCTCTCCTATTAAAATCAAAACAATACCCACGGAAATTATATTATAATTTTGAGTGTGGAAGTTTGAATTTAGTGCACTACGTTGGAACTCTACTTCATGGGACGAAGTTCGAGTCAACCAGAGACACAGACGAGCCTCTCAATTTGAATTCTTTATTGGTTATTATTCTGTGTTAGCATGTAATCACAGTTTTATCAACCTCAATTTTGATGTTTTTATTGGAATTTTTTTGTTAATGCTGTCAAGTATCGGGTGGCGTTGGTTGATGGTACTGTTGTTGCAGAGACACCAGAAGAAGGAATTGAATTGTATGTGAAGAAAGATGGTATTTTCTTTTTTTGTTTTAATCTGATGTGATTTTTAATGGGGAAAGGCAATTCCTTTGTGATTATACCAATTTGTAATAATTGAATAACGAGGGGTTTGTGTATGTTTCATGCCATTTTTGTTCAGCATTGCCAAAAGAAATCAAGACAATGAAAAAGGGAGAGAAGGTCAGATTAATTATTCAACCTCAGTGTATGTCTTTGGATCCTTGTTATCAAACTGCTATGTCTGGCAAAAAGAAAAAAATTGAATCGTCTGACGATGAAAGTTGATAAATAATTGCAGATGCCTTTGGTGTGGAGGGGAGAGATTCAAACAAGGGATTTCATTTTGTCCTTCCAAGTTTTGTGCTAAACATTGATCTCGAGGTGGTGTCTTTCAAGCCTGTTATTGATGTTACTGGTGATGCCAAGGTAATAAAGAAGGTCATGAAAGAAGGGGAAGGTGCGTGGGTTGCTAATGAAAGTGCAAGTGTTACTGGTAAGTTTATTGAGATGCATATTATTTTAGCAATATTACTGGGATCAGTTGGGATCTGGTGAATTTTTATTTCCTATGTTTATTATAATATTTTGGAATTCTTTAAATTTTTTTTAAAGTACTTTTAAAAGTGCTTTTACTGTGTCAGCCAAACACTCAACAAAATATCAAAAGTGCTTTTATATAGTGTAAAAGCACTTTTAAATGTGACATCCAAATGACAAACTGCTACTTTGTAGAAGCGCTTATGTCATAAGCGCTACTAGCATAAGCGCTTTGGGAAGAAGCATTCCCAAACGAGCCCAATGTCTCATTTGTTAGACACAGAAAAAGCATTTCACATTGTCTGAGAGGAAAACAAACAAAGTTCGCCAAATTCTAAGTCCGAGTGTTAGGGCTTGGAATACAGGTAGTTGAATTCTGGGAGACAGTCACCTGTAGAACTTCAAGCACCGAGAATGGATGAAATTACTCTTTTTAGGACATTACATCAAATCTGCAAGTCTCTATCTCAAATCCAAGTCAGTTTTATTAATTGTGTATTTACTGTGTTATGTATTACAGATTACATATTGTATCTACTAGTTCATATTGTTAATATATAGTTATTTTTATATAGTCACTGATTATTGTATTTCCAACAGTACCATGTGAGAATATGGAGTTGGTTGACATTAATCTTACCTACGGTGGAGACCAAGGCCCTCTTACCTCTTTGTTCTAATGTCAAGCCCACAATTACTGGCATGATAAAGGCTCTTGGTTGTGCTACATCGTCCTTGGCACCTCTTCCTTTATCCAAAACGTAGAAAATACTAGTTAATGTTCTCTATACATAAATTGTTGTGTTCTACTTTGCTTTTGTGCTACACGTTCTCTCCTTTGTATTAAGATAAATAAACAAATAACATGCAGAGCATGTACAAAGGAGAGAAGAATTAATCCGGAGCAATTAACATGGAGATGGTTTTGAAAAACGAAATAGAAAACAAAACTGGGAGAATTAAAAAACACTCCAAACAAATAATACTTAGGGTTGCCACGGAGAGCCTACAAGGGATGGACATTTTCGACCAAAACAAAACAAAAAGGAACAAGGGATGGCCTTCTTCATCCTGTCTGCTTACGAATTCAGAAGGGCTCCTTTGCTTATATATGCAGTACGAAACGAATTGTTCTCCAAGCAAAACCAGAAGGTAAATCCAACCCTCAGCTTGTACACAAATCATAGACAACAGTAGGCCCAAATTTTAGAATGAATAAGTAAAATATGAGGCCCAAATTTTGTACACAATTCATGTCGAGTGAGGGGACCTTTGGTGCATGCTTTTGTTTTGGTACAATGTTTATATGTTGCCAAAACGTAAATCTTGTTCTGGTTGATAAGAATTTGGGAACCCAAACATGGCTGGAGAGAATACGACCTCCCATACCTTTACTGAAGCAGCCAATAATTCTGGTTTTGGTTTTGGAGTTTTGCAAAGAGACTCTTCTGCCCAAAAAAATTGAATAAGGACAATGAGACTCTTTGGTTCGGTCCGTAGAATTGGCTCAATAACATGATAGAAGGGCCGCTGAGATTTGAGACAGCTCTTCATCTAGTCCATGAACGACAAGTGAGGGATTCTTAGGACCCCATCCGGCCATATTGAAGGGGCTCAAATAGTTCGAAAGTTAGCGATGCGTAGGAGAAGTTATTCGGTGACACACTAAGAGCACTTTTCCACTCATTTGTCATGGTAAAAGGACAAGGCCAAGTCAGGGTGGTTATTTTTCATGTAAACATTATTTGCCCTAATAATAGTTTTTGGCTTTTTCACCCATTGCCATAGGAACCCAAATGCCATTACTATTCACATGGGATTTATTTATTTTATATGTATGAGATTAATAAATAAAAAAATTGCTAGGTATGTATAAAAAAAAATATTTTTGGTAATTTTTATATTTTTTTTCTTCACTAACGTCAACGCCCTTAGGCAACAGCTCTGATTGTTCTTGCTTCGAGGCCTGCCCAATCTTAGTGAAGCCCACCATCTGCCCTAGCTAGATTTGATTTTGGAAAGTGTTTTTGGAGCACGGGGGTCCTTTTGCCTTGGCAATTCCAACCGGTGAAAATGCTCTAACAATCATTCTATTGCATGGTATTGCAGCCCCTTATGTTATACCACGTGTTTTATTTATTAAATTTTTTTCAAAATAATAAATCTAACATCAATTGATAACACTATATAACCATGTAACAATCGTATAAAACAACTTTTCGATGCATTCAATTTGATATTGAGAAGGTATTAAAATAAAAGTTGGTTTAAAAACTAAAACATATTTAATCAATGTCATCATCTCAAGGAAGATATGCAGCTAGAGGCGAAGGCAAATTGAAATATTACAGCCTGATTAGGCGGGGATTAGTAGTTTAAGGTTTGAAAGCAACTAGTTGATCATATTCATATATATAAGAGAAGAAAAAGCAACACAATGTCTCACTTTAGTTCCTTCTTCATATGGGATGTCCCTGTCTGTCGGTGCTTTAGCTTCTCCTCCACTTCTTTTGCTTATTTTTCTTCTCCTTTCTTTTTCATTTCAATTTATGTGCATCGATCCATTGGCTTTTGAGTGTACGTCCTCAGGTATTGGTTGTCGCTTAATGCATCGCATGTGTTTAAATTTAAATTCTGGCTCCTCCTCCTAAATCCCATACCAAAAGAAGATGATTCATGGATCATTTTGCAGCGCGTATGTTCTTTTGTTAGCCCAGCAATATTGCTATAAGTTGGGTAACTATAAAAGTTTAAGCGACGTTACCGAGAAATGTTAAGAACAGTCGTGCATATGGATGCGTTCGATATGCATGCGATTGAAAATCACCTACTAATTCGTGCGCAGATAATCGACTTTACTTTTTCAAGCGTAAGCATCCCAATTAATAATTTTATCAAGTCGAAAAAGATAGTGCACTATGATGTATTGTACTAACCTAGCCTTACATCTATATAATAATTCAAGGGGGCAATGATCAGTGCACTACATGACTACCAAGTCTATAACACACTTGCTGCTCCTCGGCAACTTTCTGCCTGTGTAATTGTACAAAAGATTCTCCAAACCCTCGTGTCATATTGCACATGGCTTGGTTAAATTCAATTGTTTTGTCCACCCGCACAAAGTGGTAAGTTTTATTTCACATTCAGTCATTTTGTTGATTTTTTTTGTTAAAGTATTAATCAAAATGCAGAGAAAATAATATTACCGGAATATTTAATTGTAAATGAACACTAAAGTGAAGGCAACTTAACCTATACGAAGAAAAAGAATGGCAAAATGGTCAAAAAGAGGCCATAGTCGTGATCATAAAGTTAAAAAGTACTTCCATTTCGATTCTTCTTTTTACGAAGAAAATTGCCATCCACTGTGAAAAAAAGCATATACTCACAGCTAACTTCTGCAAGTGCTTCTCCAAATAATTTTCATGGCTGCTTACTTATCTGCACCTTATCTGACTGGACGGGTTATTGTTAATATTGATGTGGCTTTTGATTGAGAAATTAATAGATGATGCAATTCCTAAATGACATACATATTTCTTACTAATCAAAAGCAACGCATTTTGTGCAGCAATTTATGCCATCATATATTGTTTCATCAAAGGCAAAAGCTTCTTCTGGTCTGCTATAAGCCTACAACCCTACAAACCCTAGCTAATCCTCAAACATTTTAATAAATTTGTGCAAAGGCTTAAACCCAATTTTTGTCGGACCATTACAGGAAAATACTATGAATGCCTTTTTTTCTTCTTCTTGTTGGGTTAAAAAAAACCATGAAAATGTTCTATTTTACTTTTGGATTCATTTAGGTGCCAAATGGAAAACTTTGAGCTTACCACCCTTGGCCAAAAAAAACCGTGCACATATATATTTACCAATCAGAAAAGTCTCCGTTTTGGCCTCTATTGATCATCATATTTCCTCTTGGCAAGTTTGGCTTAATTAGTTGCATTCGTCTGCAGAAAGAGTTGCTAGTCAGGATTCCTTAACTGTTGGTTGTCATTGTAGCTTTATGTTGTAATTTTCCTTTCCTTATCCAAAAAGAAGAAGAGAAATTGAAAAAGTCTCTATTAACTACATAAAGGGCTTGCATCATACATATTTAAAAAATATTCAACCCGCTAACATATCTGATGAATGATTAAGATTAAAATTCAGTAACTAGTTCTTAGCAAAATCATTATTAAAAACCTCCCTATGTTCATCATGCGTCACCAATATAACAAATGTTCTTATCATACCTTTTTCAATTTCATAGATTTTAAATTGACGATAAAAGAAGATAGGTGATATGTTGCTTGTACTCTAATGTTGTACACGAAAGCGTGGTCCGTCGGAGCGTTAGCCGGGAATATTTTCCAGCCCATATGAGGACCACCACATCGCTGGTCACGGGACACCTGAGAAAAAAAATCAATTTCATTTTATTTTTCCAATTTCCCACAAATTTTAGATCTGAGAAAAAAAAGAGTGATTTTGGTTGTCTGATATTTTATTATTGGTAATTGCATAACACTTTTATTAGTTTCCTGTGTACTGTTCGAAAGTCCAGTCCAGTGTTGTCTGTCGGGCATGGATATGGAGGGAAATTTTACGGCGGGCCCCACCTCAATGAAATGCCCATAGTGTGCTTGACAGAAGCATCTCTCAGATTGAGTGTCCCATCCCCACGCTCCTCAACTGCCAGCCTTGGCGCGTTGCAGCAACGGACTTCCATCAGCTGCCGCTAGATCCAAACGACGAGTCGTCCTTACAAATTTCAAACGACGCGCGGAGAAGGTTGCGTTGGTACGACCAGTCGTCCTCGTTTCTCGTACCCCTGTAAAGTTAACCACTGTCAGAGAGAGAGACGGTGAGAGAGTCCCAGAAAACTGTTGGAAGAGAATACAAGGGCCCGAAACGGCGTCGTCGTCCCCCCCCATGGGCTGCTGATTCTTCTCATTCTTTCCCAACAAGTAACAAGGAAGTCAAATCCCCGCAAATAAAAGCAGAGAGATAAAAAGAGAAAGTGAAAGAAAGCGAGAAAAAAAGGAAAGAGAAGGGCTTTTTGGGGAAGGAGGTGTTATTTCTCGCATTTATCAAAGAGAGGTTTTTGTGTCTGTCTGTCTCTTTCGACATTTTCAGGTTTAAAGAAATTGCCAAGAGACTGAGCTTCTCAGTGCTCTAAATCTTAATCTTAATTAGTTTAGTGTTAATTAAGGGGGGGTGGCGCTAAGCTTAACCAAAAGGGCTCAAAGTCTCATGAAAATGTTTTCTTGCCTCTCTCTTTCTTAGGGTTCCTTCCTTCTCACTCCCTCTGTCTTTCTCTCTCTTGTTTTTGTTTGGGGTGGGCCGTACTGCTACTTCTAGGGTTTTGAAGCTGAAACAAAAATAGTAAAAAAGGAAAAATTAAAAAAAGAGATTGGAGGCTCTGTAGCTTTGAGAGTGGGGGGTTGAAATCCATGCAGCTGGAGCTGAATCAGCTGATGATATAGATGCTGGGGTTTGTTTGGATGTGATTTCTACTGGGTTTCCTTAATCGTGGGTTTTGGTAGATTGGAACGAATTCTAAAATGTGCAAGATCTTGATGAACGAGGTTAAGTGCTTAGAATCAGCGAAGATGGAGCATTGTCTTAGTGCTAATTGATATTTCTTGGCAAGTTGGAAGAGAAATCGCGCTCTTAAACATGCATTTCACAAAGCTCGATGACTCTCCTATGTTCCGCAAGCAGGTTTTCTCTTTCTCTCTCTCTCTCTCTCTCTCTCTGCCGTTTGGCTGCTTATGTCTCTCTTTGTTTGCATGGTTTGGTTATCGCATTTTGTTCCTCATTCCAATGCCATGTTTGGCTGCTGAGAAATTCCGGAAGAGAAACTAAAGTTTGGAATTTGAATCTCATGGCTGGCTTGGTGGTTGTGATTTCTCTGCAACGAAATGGAGCATGTGCTGCCGATAGTTGTACATTTTAGAGAAGTGAATTACATTTGGCACAATCGCCATCTGCCACATCCCTTAAATTGCTGAAGTATTTAGCATTGGCCACTTGTGTAATTTGAAATGAATTGATGCGAGTTATGCAAGTTAAAGTTGAAAAGGTTTTAGTTTGATCCTGTGTTTCTGAGTTGCGAGACAGCCCGACCTAATTTATTTTTTCAATAATATGTCTCCGTTTAACTTCCACCGATTTCACATTCTGTAGAAGAACAGAGAGTTAGTTGTATTTATATTCTCTACAGAGGGCTGAAAATATGAAGCTTTGCAAATATGTGTGTGTTATAGTTCCATGACTTCTTAAATCTGCTTATACCCTGCTCGGGGTTTATATTACTCAGGCTCTGAAAATGTTGAGCTTAGCGAATGTTAAATAGCACCCCCCCTTCCCCTTCTTATCGTATTTACTTTGCGATGCATGTGAATAATGTTGCTATCACCATTCCTGTCACTGCATTCTGTTATATCCATTGTACGTGGGCAGTGAACTTTTGCTATCAGATGTTCATGACATAATTACTAGTTATGGACTTTGCTGCGGTATGCAGTCATTGATAATTCTTTTGGTGGAGCAGATACTGTGCATGGAGGAAAATGCTGAATCATTGAGGGAGAGAAGTTTAAGGTTTTACAAAGGATGCCGAAAATACACGTATGTCTACAAACAACCGTTCGACAGAATTTTTGACTTTACCAATTGTTGTGTATTCAATTACATTGTTGATGATATAAAATGTAAATTTCATTTGGCACCATAAAAGACTTGACCACTTAGTATCTTATGCTTTTTGCACTTCCTATAACTCTGAAATATGCAGAGCATATGAAAATTCGATAATTTAAAATACATGTTGTCAGGTGGTTTTGGATCTTCCTCATCTTATTTTTGCTGGATGGAATCAACCTTTGCTAAACATGTTTTGTTTGTCAGGGAATTACTTAAAGTTTTTTTTTCTTTTTCTTTTTGCTTGCAGTGAAGGACTTGGGGAAGCATATGATGGGGACATTGCTTTTGCTAGTGCCCTAGAAACTTTTGGCGGGGGGCATAATGATCCAATTAGTGTGGCTTTTGGAGGTATACCAATTTGTTGTCATAAAGAGTATCAAACATTGGTGATTTTCTTTTCTAGTTGCTTCATTGGTGGGTGCATTGGGGTCACCCAAGTGCACCCAATTCTTTTCCATTCTGACCAAATTTGAACTATAATCTTATTTGTTATCAGGATTGTGTGTGTTAGCCAAAAGAAAATTAAACAAAAAGGAAAAAAATTCATAGATAGTGCTTGTTGTTGAAACGACTATTAGAAGTAGGTATAAGCTGCTTTTGGCATTTATTAATTGGCTCCTGTCTTCTTCTCTAGGTCCTGTTATGACTAAATTTACGATAGCACTGAGAGAAATTGGGACATACAAGGAAGTTCTTCGATCTCAGGTGATAACTTTGTTTTATCTGTTGCTGCAAGCTAAAGGCTTCCTTCTGTTTTTGCAATCACAATATTTTGTCTGCAGTTCCCAGAATATCAATTCAATATGCTGTTTGAGAGATGTTCATTATTAGTTGAAATGGTTTCTTCTTAATTTAGGCTTGTGAAGAATTCCATTTTGAAGCTTGATATCATTTCCATCTTTTTAAGTTTTTGCTTTCCTATGAGGCTTTACTTGAGCAAAAGTAACTCTAACTGCATACATGTTGTGGCTGACAGAACACATTGTGGCTTATGCAGTCACAGGAAGTTTAATATGCTTTAGATTCCCTAGTCAAATGGCTTTCCATGATCCTTCTTTTGTAGCTCTATGTGTTCGTTGCCAGTTGGATTAGTAGTTTATTTTATGTCATGCATAATGTCAAGCTATTGTATAACCTGTTTTTCCTCTCCCTTACAGGTTGAGCTTATGCTAAATGACAGACTCTTACAATTTGTGAATATTGATTTGCATGAGGTCAAGGTATTGTGAAAAATTCCTGCATCAGGCGATTTAGGTTTATCTCTTTGTTTTTGTCAGTATCATTTGTGTTTTGTAGTTGGTGTTGAATGGAGTATTGTATTTGTGCAGGAGGCGCGGAAACGTTTTGACAAGGCTAGCCTTATTTATGATCAGGTGTGTGCTGCAGATCCCAAATTAATTTGCTTCTTTTGTTGAAGGAACTTCCATGCATTTAGTGACTATTTTCTCATGTGTTGAATTTAGAAAATAGAATGATCTGTACCAGTAAAATATTGCTAGCATTTTTTTAAAAATAAATGCAGGATCTCCTGCAACTGTAGAAAGATTTTTATTTTATTTTTCATGTTCTAATCAAGTCTGTGGTATCTTGAAAGATAGTTCTGTAGGTTAGTTGAAATTTAGTAGAACCACACCAGATTCATTTGTATTTTTTGGGAACTTGCTTGGGAGAGATTTATTGGTGTAATTTCTTCCTGTATCTTTGATTTTTCAGAGCTCGCCTTTTTCTATGTCCTTTCTTTTTTTTTTTTTTTTTTTTTTTTTTTTTTTTTGTAGTAGTAGCGACCTTGTTTTTCATAATTTTATCTGGGATTTGAATCATTGATAGATCTTGCTGCTATTTTGGGATTAATAAGACTCTTTGAAATTACTTGAGTATGTCATACGTAGTTTGATACTTATGTTACCGCAGGCTCGCGAGAAATTTCTCTCATTGAGAAAAGGCACAAAGAATGATGTAGCTTCCACGCTAGAGGAGGTACTATGCATTGCAAACTCTAATTGTATTGGTTAATATATGTTCTTATCTATGGCGTTGAAAATTATCCATTCTTTACATTCTAATACAGCTTAGAGATATTGCAGGAACTTCATAATGCAAGGTCTACATTTGAGCAAGCTCGTTTTAATCTGGTAAGTGTCTCAAACCTTCCCTTTTCGAAATCAATGATTTCATGTAATTGAAACATTGGCGTTATGATTTGGACCTTTTTATTTGCAGGTGACTGCTCTTTCTAATGTTGAAGCAAAAAAGAGGTTTGAATTTCTAGAAGCGGTCAGTGGAACAATGGATGCACATCTTCGTTACTTCAAACAGGTGAATTGGAAGCCAGGTTTTCTGTCCTTTTCACATGCTTTATCACTAGTTTGTTGGCCTTAAACCTTTTTCATGTGTAGGGTTATGAGTTGTTGCATCAAATGGAGCCATATATTAATCAGGTTTGTTATAAATGTGTATGTTAGTGTAATATTTAAGCCAAATCTAAATCAGTTTTGAGATTCTTATATTCCTAACTTTTCTATTCTGTTTGTAATGAGAATAATTGAAATTTTGACCTCTTATTATTTCATAGGTCTTGACTTATGCTCAACAATCAAGAGAAAGATCCAACTATGAACAGGCAGCTCTTAACGAAAGGATGCAAGAGTACAAAAGACAGGTTGATCGAGAGAGTAGGTGGTCTTCCAATGGTTCTAATGGATCTCCTAATGGAGACGGGATACAAGCCATTGGTAGAAGTTCACATAAAATGATAGAGGCCGTTATGCAGTCTGCTGCAAAGGGAAAGGTTTGAAGTAGCTTCATTTTTTTTCCTCCAGTTATTGCCTTTAATTTATTTACGTCATCTGTGTTCCACTTCTTTATGCATTTTGATATTGCAGTTGCTTTTGTTTCATGTCTACATTTAATACTACAGACAAAATTTAACAGTAATCAATAATCAGGTTCAAACCATTAGGCAAGGTTATCTCTCAAAACGTTCCTCGAACTTGAGGGGTGACTGGAAAAGAAGGTTTTTTGTTCTTGATAGCCGAGGAATGCTGTATTACTATCGAAAACAATGCAGTAAACCATCTGTAAGTAATTTTTTCAAGAAAGAAGTTAGGATGCAGAAGGCTTGAAGTTTGTCCCGGGCTTGATGTTAATATCAATGTTTTGTTATTGTGTTTGTCTATAACTTGTAGGGGTCTGGTAGCCAACTTTCTGGTCAGAGGAATAGTTCTGAGCTTGGTTCTGGACTTCTGAGTCGGTGGCTTTCTTCTCATTATCATGGTGGAGTGCACGATGAGAAATCTGTTGCTCATCACACAGTGAATCTGCTTACATCAACTATCAAAGTTGATGCTGACCAGTCAGATCTGAGGTTTTGTTTCAGGATCATTTCACCGACAAAGAACTATACTTTGCAGGTTCGATTCAGTGTAGCTGTCCCTTGTGAGCTTGGATTTATTTTTTTGTATTTATGTAGTTTCTGAACTGTTTCTCAACCAATTTTAGCTGGTGATTCTGCTAATATGGCGAATCTGTGATGGTTATTTGTATATAGGGGTTCCTGCAATGATATTTATTTATGCTTGTCAGTGCAGGCAGAGAGTGCACTTGATCAAATGGATTGGATTGAGAAGATAACAGGGGTTATTGCTTCATTACTTAGCTCTCAGGCTCCTGAGAGGGTAATTATTGTCAAGTTTTGCATGATTATGATGCCATTGATTTTCATAGTCGCTTTGATGATTTTTGTCCAATTCTTTTTCAGTTTCTGCCTGCTAGTCCCATGGGAAGCCATCGTCGTTCAGCCAGTGAGAGTAGTTCATTTGAGAGTTCTGATTTTGATCACACTGGAGTCGAAGAACTTGCATCTGAGAGGAGTCTTCCTACTGCACATTCTGACCGCCCATTTAGAAGCTCACAACAACAACGGTCTTCTTTAAAAAGCGAAAAGACAATCGACATGCTACGACGAGTATGTGGGAATGATAAGTGTGCTGATTGTGGTGCCCCAGAGCCAGATTGGGCATCATTAAATCTTGGTGTTCTCGTTTGCATAGAATGTTCTGGTGTTCATCGTAATCTTGGTGTACATATCTCAAAGGTAATCATTCTATTTTCTTAGTTTTTTTACATGTTATATCTGTGAGCCATACTGTCTTAAAAAAGTGTTGTGTAGGCATGCCTATCAAATAACTATTATGTTATCCTGTTCTTTCTTCCTCTACTTTTTTACGTGTACAATCTCAAATATTTATAGAGTAGGAATCTAAAGAACCTTCCCCGTATGATTTTTACTAATGTGGTATTTTTTAACTGACCAGTAATGTGGTTTACTTTTCTTAAGGCAATAAGAATAATTTGAGACATTTTTTTCTAAGAAACGACTCTCATGTTAGCATGGAATGTGTAAACTGTCCAATAATATTTTTAAATATTTTTTCTGAGATTCTCTCTCCTCTGACCATGAATTTGTGTACAATTACAGGAGAATTCAATAATTGTTCACATGATGACTTGGTAAAGTGGAAACTATTATTTGCTGGAAATTACTAAATTTTGTTTTGGTTTGTATGTTGTATGGACTGTAATATCTTCATAGGAACTTTTTTGTTTATAACTGGGTAAAGTGTCCATGGGAATGATATATGTACCGGCCCTATAAAAAAATGATATATGTATCAGTTGCTCATTTCTGCAACTCTTTCTTGGTGACTTTTACTGCAGGTAAGGTCTCTTACACTGGATGTCAAAGCGTGGGAGCCTTCTGTTATAAATTTGTTTCAGTCTTTGGGTAATGCCTTTGCCAACTCGGTCTGGGAGGAACTTTTGCAATCAAGAAATGCGTTTCAGGTTGATCTTACATCCACAGGGTAGGGATTCTTTGTTACAACTCTTTCGAGTATCGTATATGTTTCATCTTTACTTGACTGTTGTGAGCATTCACTGCTATTCTTCTGGTGAAGGTCATACAAGTCTGATAAAAAGCAGCTAGTTTTTATCAACAAACCCAGTCAGAGTGATTCTATACCAGTAAAGGAGAAATTCATTCATGCAAAGGTATGTCCCTCGCTGTTGCTAATTGGATGACTTGAAAACAGAAGGAATTGCTCTCCTTTTTTAAATTTAAATTGTGATGGATAATGTGTGAATATGATCTAGATAAGTTGATACATCAAGACATTAGAATTTTTTTGGTCTAATGGCTAAGATTGCTAGTATTACATACTAAGTTGATAGGGAAGCAAAAAAAAAAAAAAAAAAAAAAAAAAAAAAATTATTTTGTTATATAGGGAGGAAGAGGGGAAGGAAAAAATAGTTTTTTAGAACACATCACATCTAAAGAACAACGAAAAAATAAAAAAAACAAATATTAAAGACAGAAAATTTGTCTAGAATATATTTTGATTAGCTCTAATATGTGGAGAGTAGTTTGAGAGATTGTGAACCCTTATCAGCTTATTGGAAGACTTGTTATCCTCTTGTTTATCGCTTTTAGGTGATCATGGTTTAGGCATCTTGCAAGAAGGGCTGTACGTAGTGTATAAAGGCATAACCTCATTGTTCCTCCATAACGTGGATGAGGCTAGCTTGAATTCATCGTAGTTCTCACAATACCAATGATTTGAGAACCAATCTTTATCGACTTTATGATATATGAGTGTTCTTGAAGATCTCCTATGCTGCCTGCTACTACTAGTTGATGTTATTCAGACTACAGAGATGTGGAACTAAATGTTTATTTTATTTCGATCATAGTATGCAGAAAAGCTTTTTGTTCGGAAGCCAAAAGATGCACAATATACTCATTTGATAGCACAACAGATTTGGGAGGGTGTTCGTGCTAATGACAAGAAAGCTGTATATCGTCACATAGTTAATTCTGAACCAGATTTGAATGCGGTGTATGAGCAAGCATCATGTGCCTCTTCATTAACCCTTGCCAAAGTAATGCTGATGCATGAGCAGACTGGCCATGACCAAACCCCTAGCTGCTTAGCTGGGGATTCATTGGACAGGTCGTCTCCTAGCTCTTCAAACTTGAGTGGTACAAGTGAAGGCCATGCTGTGGAAGATCTAGATGGGTGCACTCTTCTTCACCTTGCTTGTGAAACTGCAGACATTGGAATGCTTGAACTCCTCTTACAGTATGGAGCAAATGTGAATGCGACTGATTCAAGAGGTCAAACCCCACTTGACCGTTGTATTCTCAGAGGCAGAAACACATTCGCAAAGTTGCTTCTTTCAAGGTGACTATTGTCTTATGGTTAGATTTGCTGTTTTTCAAAACAAATTTATTACATCTTTCCCAGTTTCTGCATATTTAACTAATTAGCTGTCAATTTCTTTTAAATGCTTCATTTTTACCTCTTATTTATGATTCACTACTGAGGGGTTCAACTGCATCTGCAGGGGAGCTGATCCACGAGCATTAAATGGGGATGGTAAAACACCCCTTGAGCTGGCAGTCGAGTCAAACTTTGATGATGGTGAGGTCCTTGCTATATTATCGGAATCCAATGGATGAAACTATCGAATTAGCAACCATCCGAATACAACGGCATGGATGCTGGATAATTTTCGTTAAAAGAAACAAAAGGTATCGCATTTGTATAATTATAGTTCATAAATTTGAAAGCTTGTTCTCCTTTGAATGAAATGGCACAAAGTGTTTTGAGGGTTTCAAGAGTGGTAGAATGGCGTGCCTGCCCCATGGGGGCACCGTTGCAAATTGTCGTCCAGGGTTGTAATTTAAAATGGCTCCTGTGGTCTGAGCTGAAAGGCATCTGGTAGCGTTCAGCCAAGGGCTCTGTAATCTGTTGTCTTTTGTTTATTCAGTTTTCTGCTTCCTTTTGGGTGAAGCTGTGAGGATTTAGTTTAGGCCATTGTGTATTTGTACATTGATTTCTTTTAGTGAAGCTTTTGGTTGTTGTAACTCATTTGACAGAACAAACTTCCAACCCAATGTTATTCCAGTTTAAAGATTCCGAAGAGGGAAAGAGGAGAAAAGAGGGAGAAGATGAAAGTAAATACCCCAAAAAGAAAGCAAAAAATTTCCCGGAAATTGATGACTTTCGATGCTTTTCTTTGCAAGGAAGGATATTTATGATATGGAGGCGAGAAATATTTATCTGGGTTTGATTTTGTGGAAAAGAGTTCCTTAATCATATTCGTGAAAACAAAAGAAAATAGAAAATAAATATGATGATCTTCAATCATCCAATCTTATCCACGTCCAACTAAGATACAAAGATCTGAAATGACGAAAAGACTGCACTAACATGTCTTTTGATGGGTCAAGCCTGTGAGCGGAGCCTATGATGTTACGCTCCCTTGTCATGACTCATGGCATGTCAGTCAAATGCAGCAGAACCCATCACGTAAGACGCAACAGACAGCTTGGTCTGCGGGTCTCCCTGCGAGTCAAAGGGCTACTGAATCCAGCACTAACTATATTTAGGCAGAATGTCGTTTTTCGTTCTTGTCGTTCGTCCATTTTACAACTTTGATAATCTTCGTAGCATCATTTATGTCATTTTATTGTTGTAGTTTTAAATCCCTCGCAATGCATAATAAATTTGTCGAATTCTTTTCAATATCGTTCAAAATATCCTACACACTTACTATGTTCTGGAATTAAAAGAAAATTTGTTCGTACTTTTAAATATAAGGGGTATAATCAAATCAAACCGCATAGATCAAAATGAAAAATCCAACAAATATAAGAACAAAAAGTGATTTTATGCCTTTTATTTATTTACTTGTTTCAAGTAATTTGGATAGAAACAAATGAAGCAGGTGAGTGATGGTACTAACTCAACTGCCATTGATTTATGAAACACAAGACAAGATGATTAAAAAAATGTTTTCTCATTTCAATTTTCAAGACTTACTTTTTTTTATTTTATAAATGAAATGGAGGTGAAAAGCCCTCCTTGCTCCTGTTGGGCCTGAAAAGGCAAAGGCCCACACGTGCACGCGTGTTGGTGTTTCACTCGTCCCGAGACCCATCGATTCTTTAGAACCACCGGAAAGCGGAAACCAGACCAACCATGAACGACTGGAACGACCCCAGCAAACGTGTAAAAGATAATATTCCATTTCCATCCCCACAAAAATTAATAATTATATTCCAAAGCAACAGTTTATTAAATTTTAGTTGTTGTTGGGAATTACTTTAATTAATTTAAACAACGAACAAACCAAAAGCCAAAAAGAAAAACACTTTACTAATCACTAATCGGCATTTGGCTAATCTGTAATCTTCCCCCATCCATTTTTTATATAATCGGAATAAATTCCCGCGGTGGTTCCTTCTCAACGGTTGGGATCTCTTCCCGGACCAGCTAACGGCGGATATGTATTTGGCGTTGCTCGGGCTTGTCTCACACGGTTCGATGTTTCGCTTTCGGCCCTCGTGATAGCGACACAGTGCCAACGTGGCGCAGTGGACCCCTGGGCTTGGTAGTCTGAAAGGCGGGAAGCCCAGTTTTGTCCTCCGCATGAGAGAGAAAGAAAAGCAAAAAGAGCCAGAGAAAGTGCGTGTAAAATGTATCTCTTCCTCTCAGAGAGAGAGAGAGAGAGGGAGAGAGAAATACAGTGAGAGAGGTAGGGATTTTTGTTTGTATTTTGAATTTTTTTACAAGGGACAATAATAATAGTGGTAGCCCGAGGCAGGAAGAGTACCGGGTTGTTGTATACTTGCTGTGTAGTTTGTGAAGAAAAGAACCTACTTTGTTTTGTGAGACTCTGTGTGTGACTGTCTCTAACTTTGAAACGGCGAAGTTACAAAACTTGCCCTTTCTTTTCTTCTTGTCATTTTTGGCGAGCACTTTGGGTCTTCTAAGTTCTTCAATCTCTGTGTCTCTGCTGATGAGTAGTGGGGGTTTGTTTTTGTTATTTGTATTTTCGGGCATGTTGAAGGGGTGTAAATGAGGGGCTTGAAGAGAGAAAGATGCGAATCGGTGACGAAATGATTCTTTGCGTCTTTCTTCTGAGGATTTTTGCGTCAAAAAATTCGATTTTTATCTGATATTCTCCTCTTTCATGCGCCCCTCGAAGCTTCTCTCATGGGTTCCCCCCGCACTTTTCCCCACTACTTCAAGCATTTCTGGACCGGTTTGCATTTTCTGCGTCTCCAAGCTCCATGGAGACTAAAGCCTTAAGAAAAACAAAGCAAAAATTTGAGCTTTGATGCCAAAGCAGCTGCTACTCTTGAGTTTGTGTGGTCAAATACTCAAGAAAAAGATTTGAGCTTTAAGATTGGTTTTGTTTATTTTCATCTGGGTTATTTAACTTCAAGCTCTTGGTTTGCCTCCTATATGTAACATGTGGGTTTCAGTTTAGCTTTTCTGAGCCTTTGCTCTCACTGTCTTGCTTTTGAGATTTGTGGCTTTCTACTCTCTAATGGATAGAAGAAGAAGTACTTCAAAATTGAACAGTAGGCTTACTAGGCTTCTCCTTTTGCTATTCATATTCTGCCTTCGCCAAGAAACTGTGCAGTGCCAAGAAACTGAGCCTCCATCGTCGTCAAAGCAACCCCACTTCAAGAACCAGCTTCAAAGAATCATTCTCAGCATTGTGTTGGGAGTAGTGACAGGACTAATTTGTGCCCTTCTCACTGCTCTCTTGGTCCGCTGCTTTCTCCGCTACATTAGCAGAACCCCAATTCTAAAAGGCCCAGTCATATTTTCTCCCAAAATCGATCCCAAGACGCTCCAATTGGCATTAACTAATGAAAACCAGTTACTGGGTTCTAGCCCAAATGGCAAGTACTACAGGACTGTTCTTGACAATGGGCTTATCATTGCAGTCAAGCAGCTTGGACCCTTCTCCGAGTGTAGCTCGCCAGAGTCTCAGAGCAAGTCGGTGAAGAGGCGAATACAGCAGGAGCTTGAAGTTCTTGCTGGCCTGAGGCATAGGCATTTGATGAGCCTGAGGGCTTATGTTCGTGAACACGATAGGTTCTCTTTGGTTTATGATTTTGTGCCCAACGGGAGCCTAGAGGATACTATGAATAGAGTTAGAGAAAACCAATTGCAGCTTGGTTGGGAAGTTCGGCTTCGGGTTGCAGTTGGGGTGATTAAGGGGCTTCAGTATCTTCACTCGTATGTTCCTCAGATTATGCACTACAACTTGAAGCCTACAAATGTTATGTTGGATTCGGAGTTTGAACCGAGATTGGGAGATTATGGGTTGGCCAAGCTTACGCCTTATTTGGATGGAGCAACATCTGGCTACAGCGCTCCAGAGTGTTTCCAGAATGGCAGGTACACATATCAAACCTTGATAATATCCAAACTTGGTAATGTTTCGTTTTGTACAATTACTATGCTATTCTGTTGAGGAAGCTATATTGATATATTTGTGGAACTTGTAATTGGGTTTAATGATATTTGTGCACAGTTCCTACTAATCTTCTTGCTTTTACAATACTTATCAGGAGTTTGGTATTCCACATCACAAATGTTTAGTCTGGGGCAGGATTGGATTAGGTCTGCTACCTTTTAATTTCCATTAGCCATTTAGCTTCTTCTTTTTCAAATGTCTCGCTCTCCTGCACAAGGTGATGGATACTCGAAGCTCACGGCCAATACAGGGGTGTGTGTTTTGTGGGTGGGATTGCAATCCCACACCCTTTGTCACACTTTTTTTTCGCCCCTGTATGGAATTCTGAAAGTTTCCCTTGGAGCGGGATTATTCTCATAGTTGTTAAGATATAAGGCTTTGTAGAACTTCAGAATATTGATGGTTGTTTGCCTTAACATTGGTGCTATGGGGTCGTATATGTAGCAGTTGTGTTATACTGACTAGCTTGTAGTATGGAAATAAAATAGAGAAACCCGCCCGCTACAAAGCCACACCCCTCCAATTTTCTCTAGAAAGGAAGAACATTAGAACAATTACCAACAGTAGATAATTTCTTTTTCCTTACTGAAAACAGATATACTCTTCCACTAAAGGCATTATATTCAATTTTGACAGGTACGGTGATAAGAGCGACATTTTCAGCTTTGGGATGATATTGGGTGTTTTATTAACTGGTAGAGACCCAACTGACCCCTTCTTTGGGGAAGCAGCTAGTGGTGGAAGTTTAGGACGGTGGCTGCGGCACTTGCAGCAAGCCGGGGAGGCACGGGAAGCATTAGATAAGAGTATAATAGGGGAAGAGGGGGAGGAAGATGAGATGTTGATGGCAGTGAGAATTGCTGTTGTATGCCTATCAGATTTGCCAGCAGAGAGACCCTCAAGTGATGAGCTTGTTCACATGCTAACCCAACTGCACAGTTTTTGAATCAAATGTAAGTATTTTGTTGAGTTGAAGCTTCTATTTCTGTAGATTTTGGGGGAACTAGACTTCAGAAATGTTTGCTTTCAGGTTTTGGTCTGCAATCTGCACGTCTTTTCAAATTGTAAGCTTCCCTGTTGTAATGTATGTACATTGACTGTGGTGAAGAGGTCATGGAAATTTCTAACTTTGGAGTACGAATGAGCAGATAACCCATGTGGGGCACATCTCTATTATTGTGTTTTTCCCCTCCTGATGGTAGGGATTTGCTGGCTGTCTTTTTCTGGACAATACTTTTTTCAAAATCACGGGTCTTTTCAACCTGTGAAGTTGGACTATTCTCTACATGCCTGCTTCAATAACCATTCTGTGTAGATTCAAAACTTCCATGTCAAGAGTATAATGCTTTTTTGTTATTTTCAACCAATTACATTATATTATATTATATGGAATAGTTATAATGCATGACGGAACGTGATTGGTTGGAAATATCAAAACAGTGGTATCTCCGTGATATACAATTTTCTTTTTTCGTACTTCAGTGTTCTTGTAGGCATGGATTCAAATTCTAAGGTGGTTGCAACCAACTAACACGCAGTCTACAAATCAACTAATATTTCATATCAAATAGCAATATGAGTATTTAAAAAGTCTTTTGATAACCTTGCTTATTGGATTAATAATTCTTTTTCAAGGCTACTTTAACTTTCTTGCTGTGATCCCCATCCCCATGGTTCTATTTTGGAAGATGTAAAAGCCATTATTGGTTGAGTTTGTCTTGCCTAAAGTGTGTCACAAATTGTATCCACATGTCATGTACATGACTAGGAAGCAAGAAGAGACAAGAAAAAGCATGTGGTGGGGATACTGAGAAACCAGGCAGCTCATGCAATTTGGGCCCAAAATTAGCATGCTTAAAAAGAAAAAAGGAAAAAAGGGAGTTAAAAAGCATGAGAGGGATTAGAAAAGATGACCTAACCACTTCCACTGTGACTGCAAGTAGAACCCAACCTTCCATTCTTTTAATTATTACAAGCATTCACAATGAATTCCTTAAACTATTTTTTTAGATAAATTTTAAGGATGAATTGGAAAAATACAATTCCAATCATGCTCCGTATCCATATCCTAAAATAGGGATATCTTTAGGAACTCATAAATTTAAGGAGAGAGAAATGATTCTTAGTGGCTCCCTATAATTTAATGAATATTTCAAACATTTAATTAATGCTAATAATTTTTTAAAAGAGATTGACCAATTAAAAAAGAGTTACAACATTTATGACTCCCTAAACTAGAGAGCACGATTAAAGTTTAAATTTTATAAAGAGCTTCTAAAATAACTTTTATATGTTTTTAACTAAAATTTAACCCAAAAAGAAAAAAAGAAAAAAGGGAGTATGATTGTAGATGCTCTACGGGTATATAAATATATTGAAAGATAATTATTAAGAGAAAATTATTTAAAGGAGAGGAATTCTTTTTCTCCTCAACATATGAGAAATCCCCCAAGTCAAAAGGTGAGGGTGGGAGAAAGACTTTCATGAAACGGAGATAAAACTATTTTTCTATTTTCGAGTCCTAGTAAATAACATTATGATATACAGGATAACACTTCTACATGACATATCATTATTGGCAGAAGATGGCAAAATAGTTCTATTTCTGTTGCAACTAAATTTTTTTCGAGGGTCGGGTATAGTTTGTTAGCTTTTTGGGCCTTGGGCTTCGTGTTATATACAAAAATTAGGGGTGGGAAAAATTGCAAGTGTTTGGGCCGGAAGGTATTTGCTTTGTCCCACTTTGGGCTGTGGGTGAAATGTCGAGTCGCCGAAGAGAAGAAAGACAAAACTGGAGTTGGAAAACCGGAGTGTGGGAGAAAAATCCAAGTATGAGCATCTCTCAATCCATTCATTTAGTTTTGTTTTTGTGGACGAAATCTCAATCCATTTAGTTCACCACCAAATTCCCAGTTCAAGCAGGAAGTTGATATCTTATCCGGTCTCAAAAAATCTATGCTACCTTATCCAATATCCATCCAAGTCATTGCCCAGGCTGATATATTACAGTGCTGAGCTTTTGCCCCTCTTTAACTCGAGCAAATCAAAACCAACTTACTTCCAACAAAATGCAGGCCATTCTACATCTCCCACCACCACCATCTGTATCACCCCTTGCCCTTGCAACACCCACCACCACCAAGTCCCTTGCCTTGCCATGCAGCTCCTCCATTCCAAGGCTACTAAAATCCCCAAGGTGCCCCCCACTCAAGGCAGCCAATGTCACAGACGACCCTACTGCTGTTGATTACAGCTCCGTCACTTCGTAAGTCAATACCACTCTCAGCTCTTTCTTCTTATTGATCTTAATATTCTGATCAATTGTTTGCTCAAGCATAAGCATTAATTTGTGAAATTTACAGTGTTTTTCCAGCAGAGGCTTGCGACACAATCGGAGGAGAAGCTTGTGATGTCGAAATGTATCCTGAGGTGAAGCTCAAACCAGAAGACAGGAACAACACAGCCAAGACTACTTCTGAGCAGTTGGATAGAGATTATCTAGAGTATGACAGCCCCAAGACGTAAGATGAATAATCTTTTATTGGTTTGAGGTCTGAAATTTTGTGTTTTCTTTTTGATTGCCTAAAATGGTTTTATGTTGATGATTGCTGCAGGGTCTTTCCTGGAGAGGCTTGTGATGATCTGGGAGGAGAATTTTGTGAGCCTGAGTATCAGAGAGGGGTTCACTAGGCCCTGAGATCTTTTCTTTTCTCATCTCAGCTCTATTGTTGACTCTAATAATTTTGTGAATAATTACTATTTGGAAGGGTAGCTGGCAGTGTTCTTGAATAATAAATAATGAACATGAACATGTAAGAATATAGCCCAGTTGGGAAGTTCTAGTTGCAAATTCTGATCTTCACAATTTTCTTTGCTTCAATATTTGGAAAACTCAGAATCAGGGATGCTACCTACGACTCCGAAACCAGATAATTGATGAATCAGTATATTCTCCAATGATTAGAACTAAGAAAAGATTTGTTTCTTGAAATTTGAAATACTATTTACTGATCATATCAAGTTTCAGAGCTTGCACATCACACAGTTTTTAAGGGTTTCTACAGAACTCACATTATGAACAAGAACAATGAAGCAGATATTAACACTGACATGTTTAGGCATCAAATGTCAAAGAGCTTCGAGTAATTTTGAGCCTAAATTCGATACGCCTAATATTCACTCGCTTCAGTGATCTCCTCCAGAAAAAGATACTGGAGAGCAATGGAATACTTAGCAGTCTTTGTTCTCCCTGAATTGCTATAGTCTTTTAGAACAAACGATCCAGAGCCATCACCTTCAGCACACACACAAACACCCAATTATAATATGTTGCAAAGAAAAAAGAACACTTATTCAAATATTCCATATAAAATTATAATGCATAACCGTCCCATTGCTAAACAAACCTTGAATTGTAAAAATGGTTGTAACCCATCTTTTGTAGATGAAGAGCAACCTTGGGGAGTCTCCATGGTGTGTATCAGACAGCAGAAGCTTGCAAGGACTCGTTTCACTACCATGAAAAATTAAAGCTTACCATACTACTATTGTTACTAAACAGAGCAAATTAAGTCACTAATTATAATTAAAAAAGGTTAATTACTCACTTGGCATGAACCATGGCATTGTGACATAAAGCTAGTGTCCGAACCATTGCTAAGTCTCTTCCTCGTGGGTTACCATATCTTTCTTGGCAGCTCCTTTAATTGAAAGTAAAAAAATTAAATTAACAGATTGACACAAGTGAACAAGAAAAGAAGAAAGGAAATACCTTTCGTCAAAGAAATCTCCAAAATCATCAATAACAACTGCCACAGGAAATGTGTCATGCAGGTGAAATGCAGCAAAGTACTTCTTAATTCCTTCATCATCATCCACATACCTATACAGATGAAAACTTGTCTCAAAAATCCCATTTATACATCATCATTCTTTAGAAGTGTTATGATCAAGAAAGCTTCAAGGGGTAAACTCACTTCATTTGTATGCGCTGAAATGTCTCAGAGGATGAATCAACGCCCTGAAAATGTTTAACACAGAAAAATGGCTTATGGGTACTGAAATATTTCAAATAATAAATAGATTTTTTTTTAAAGGAAAAAAAAGAAAGAGAAGAGGTACCCGGGAAAGATAGGGGGGCTTGGCCTCTAACTTGCGGCGGTTGCAAATGAACATCACTTTACCATTAGTATTGCCATGGTGGGCCTCCTCCATTGCGGAGTTGAATGCAAACTGGAATATTAAGGAGGTTTTTCCGCTGCAAAAAAACAAAGACACAGAGCAATTAGAGAGAGAAATGGAGAGAGAAAGATATATGGAAAGTTGAATTACGAATACCAGGAAGGAGGGCCAGAGAGAAGCATAACAGGGTGGGATTGGCTGTTTTGTTGGAGGTCCATTTGCCTCACTGAGAAAAATCTCTGCACCATGGTTGAGCTGAAGCCAGAAGCTCCAATGTCAACAGTCGGATGGAAATTTATACTCGGTCCAAATCACAAACCCCGGGCCTAATAAAAAACCCATCTTGGATTTTACCGGCGTGCCTTTTTCTGTGTTTTTTTTTCTTCTTTTCATGAACAATAATTTAGTTGGCGCCAAAAAATTTATTATTTATTATTTATACGAAAATAGAGGCACCCACAATAATTTGGAACCCTCCAGTTAGAAATATAATATTTTGCCAAGGCCTAGTATATGGATTTTAGCTCTTATTTTCACTTATATATGCGTTTTTGTTCCTGCAAATATATTTGAAATTAATTATGCCTTGCCTACTATTACAGTGAATTTCAAAATCTACTCTAACTAATATAAATATTTCCAATGCATGTTATGCATTGAATGGCATAATAGTCAAGAGAGCACATTGCGGACTATCGAAAGAGTCCAATCTCCAAAAAGTTAGACCAATGTAAATTGCTCTGCAAGACATACTCGATGGGAAGTATATAAGCATAGCAAAACCTTGAATTTCCAGTTCATTTCAGCAAAAGGAAAGAGAAAAAGAAAAACTACTTCTCAAGAAATTCAGATGGAGGTGACTCATAAGTTTGCAACTACGGTTACAAGAAAAAGGGCCTAAATCAGCAAAGGAGAAAATTGTGTTCATAAGAATACATTGGCTCAGATCATCATGTTTCTATTGGCAATAGCGCAGCTGACCCATTTCCAAATCCAGATTCCAGTACTACCTCTGACAGGTCATCGCTCTCAAAAAAGGCATGGTGAAGGGCCTTGACGCATTTTTCAGCTTCACTATCATTTACTATCAATGAGATGTTTACCTGATTTATAACAAATCAATTATTAGACAGCAAAGAAAAATAATGAATGAGTGAAATATTATGAGTTATGACTGAGAGACCTTAGATGCCCCTTGTGAGATCATTTGGACATTGACTTGATTGGTTCGGAGAACATGAAATGCCTGCGAGAAGGAAAGCCAACTATATGAGATAAGAAAGAAGAGGAAAAGAAAACATCTCTTCTGGACAAATTCTAGAACATTGCAGAGGGAAACATAACACCTTCTCTAGTATCAATGAAGAATACTGAACATTCCCTATGAGTGAGATGATTGATCTACGCTGCAGAAGATTCACGAATGCAATTTTTTCAAGTTCTTCCTCCATCTTGTCAAGTTCCTGTTACATATGTCACCAATTCGTACGCATTCAGAAAATTAGAAAGAGCACAGACAAATCTTTCAACTAGTGATGTATCAGTGTTGGCTCTTAACTAACATGAACGTCAAGACTGACAATGCATATCTATTGTCTATGAGTTTCACACCGTGTATCTTTATGTATTTTACATTGTGCATCCTTACAAAAGGATGCCTATTATTCACAGGGACCTTGAAAAGGTATACACCGCGTTAAAAGAATTACAACTTAGAACAACAAATAAATCCTACATAAAGAACATAAGATTGTATGCTTGCCTGCTGAATTAGTTCTCTACTCCAAAACTTCGATGGATCCAATGTCAAAGATAAACTGACTTCACTTGTTGCAACAACATCCACAGAAATGCCCAAATCTTCAAAGGTTGAGAACACCTATTTGGATGATGAATCCCACGGTAGGGGGGACATCATGACAATTACAATCAGAAATTCCAAAACAAGAAAAGCAATATGGCAACTGCAAAACAAAACCAAGGAAACAAAGAGTTTCTCACCTTTGAGAGGAAGCCAACCTGACCAAGCATGCGTGTACTGACAATATCCAACAGGGTGACATTTTGCTTCAGAACTATGCTGGTTAGAACAGCCTGAAGTTGATTTCAAGGGATAGATTGGGGTAAAAATAAAAGATCAAGAATGTTTGAATTCTTACACACACTTCAATTCTCAAGAAAAAAAGAAAAGAAAGGAGAAGATAAAGCTGCCCAAACCTTGCTCATATCTCTTGTTTTAGTGATGAGGGTACCAGGAGCTTTAGGGTTATAAGAGTTCTTGACCCTAACAGGAATCTCGCCATCTCTAGCTGGTCTCATGGATTGTGGATGTAGAACCTGCGCAATTGTCAGTGCAATTATATTTATCTTTCTACCTAAGTGCTCTATTTCTACTACCGATGCTAAATGGCTAGCTCTCATCAAGACTCCATCTGCATTTCGTTATACAAATTACTAGATGAATGCTTTGTCTGTCTAATCACAATTATACAAGAAAAAAAGAGGGGCTCATCTTTTGAATAAAAGATGCTCATGAATTGAATACAAATATTGCTTTAGTGGAAGTCTTAGTCCACAAACACAGTCCAAAGCACTTCATGGATGGGAATCCAAAGCCCACTTTATACCCATCTATAAATACTTGAAAAAAAAAACTCTGCAGTATCCCTTCATTATGTTAACTCTCTGTCTCTAGCCATAGGTTCTCTCATAAACACATGCTGCAGAGATAATATTAAGACTAAAATTTCAACCAACTGGTTGAGTCCTCTAATTAGAAAATAACATCTAAACTGCAAGAGTAAACAGAATCTACCTGAGCACCAAAATATGCAAGCTCAGCTGCCTCATCGAAAGTCAAATAAGGAACAGGTTCTGCATCAGGACATATACTAGGATCACAGGTCAAAACACCATCAACATCCTTCCACACCTGTTAAAACTGTTAAATTAGCTTCTATATGTGTTTGCCTAATAAATTCAAAATGAATACTAGCATATAGTTCCTGCTAATTAGAAAAAGAAATGCACAAAATCTCCAATAAAATGCTAGCCATGTTAGCTACATCAATAAAATAACAGACAACCATCAGCATGCAATCAGAAAACACAAGTGATGAATGCAAGCATGATAGGGCGCATATCTACATGAGTTCTGGTGATACATGCATTCAGAGCCTAATCTCACCTGAACTTCTCGCAAGCCTAGGGATTTACCAATGGTTGTCGCTGTTAAATCACTACCACCCCTACCCAGGGTAGTAACTGCACAAGATTTTGAGCCCTGCAATCAATAAAACAGATGTAATGTTGAAAGCCCAGCCACTAAATATTATTTTCATCAGAAACTGAGACTTCAAATCAAACATGTGAGCAGGAATTTGATTGGGCAGCTAGCCAGGGGAAAGACCTTTCCGAGAAAACCAGTAACAACCGGAATTGCAGGATCACTAATCCAATCATCATTTAATCTTTTAGCAACGGATGGGTAAGTTCCTTCCAAGATGTCAGCATTGGTGAAGTCATCTGTTGTTATGAAACCAATGTCAAACGCATCATACTGCAGTACATTAATAGCAACCATCATCAAGAAAAGATCTTAAGTGGCTACTAACAAAGAGAGTAACGATGCACTAGAGAAAATAATCCAAAAGAATCTGAAGAAAGAAATGTCAAATGCATATTTTCAAAAGATGGAGTATACATACTTGGCGCGCCTTAACACCAAAATTATTTAGATAAGCTGCAAAGATCCTTGTGGACATGCACTCTCCAAATGAAACTAGATAGTCTCTTGTGCGGAGAGTTAACTCTTTCATCATAGCTATTCCCTTCAGCAGTTGCTCTAGTTCTTCTAAGTGTGCTGCAACATGTCCCAGGAAAAAAAGGGGCAAATACCCAAAGTTTCCAATTAACAACTGATCCTTGACCTTATTAATAAAATTAAAACAATTCAACACACCAAATGAGGAAATTCAGACATTAAAAAAAAAAATTCATCCCTTCACTTAAAGTTCTTACCAGAAATAACGGAGCTATCAATTCCAAGTTCTCTAACAGTCCTGAGCAAATGCAATCACACAGTTTTTAACAACAGCTCTAAGGCACAATTGAAAAAGAAAATGAGAAAGAAAAAGGCAAATGATGAGTTAACCTGAGATGCAGTTGTTTTATAAAGCTCAATTCTTCAATTTCTGACGCATTCGAGACCCCACAACTGACAGCCTTCTCCCCAGCCTATGCATACATTATACATAAATCACAGCCATCCAATCGCATTATAATTAAGCAATCAAATCACACAATTAAATAACTTAATCAGATAACAATGAAAAGTTCATTACAAGTAAGAGGTTGTTAGTGGTCTTCCCCATGGCAGAGAGCACAACAACAGGCTTTTCATCAGGAAAACTGACAATGAGCTGAGCAATCTCTCTTATCCTCTCTGCCGATGCCAACGACGATCCTCCGAACTTCATCACGCAAGTGAATGGTGCTACATCAGAGCCATGGCTCTCTGTTGCGTTCTCTTCTTCTTCTTCTTCTTCTTCTCCTCCAAGCACAGCTTCAATTGTTTTCTTCTCGCTGTTACCTCTCAAGCTACAGCCTTTACATGCATTTTCCATTGCCGCATGGAATGATCGTGATGGTGAGGCCACTGAAGAGAGCCATGGCTTGCTCGACAAGTGTGAGAGTCTTGGAGTTCGTGAGTAGCAGGGAATTCTAACCCCGTGGAAATGCAATGAAGCCTCCATTTGCTTATCTGACTCTGTACCGAAGTTGCTTCGACGAATTATCAAATTCAGGGTTTCTGGTTTATTGGATTTTCATTTGTTTTCCAGACGTTTCTTGGCAACCAAACGCGTGAGTGAAATTTCTGTATCGGGAACGAAGGGGAGGCAAAAGGGGAAAACATCCATCATTCACTACCGCGTTTTTTGTTTATAAATATCTCTTTACCCTAATGGATACGGTGTCGTTTGTTTGTCCTTACTTCTTATAGAAATGGAAAATTACCATTAAGCCTTCAAAAGGACTATCGACTCTCAAACGGGTCTGCAACAAAGTAACGAAATCCTGAACTTGTAAACTAGAGATATTTTTGAATCAAAAGCTTAATTTTGAATGTCTTCTTCTTTCACAGTCCAATGTTCTTTGCTACCTTCCTGCGGTTTACATCATCATGATCAGACTCCATCTACAAAAGCTGCAAACTTTGCTCAAATTCCTTCTTGGGTCTCTCTCAAATTCACCGCTCCTTCGATCAATACCCGCCAAATAGAAAGTGGTCAAGTCGAAAATGTGCACTTGGTTTCTCTATCTAAGCAAGGGAGGCTCAAAGAAGCTCGCGACTTTCTCAAACACATGAACGAAGCAGGTGTCTCCGTCAGTCCTCAATCTTATAAATGCCTCTTTGAAAAGTGTGGATTAATGGGTTCCTTATCAGATGGAAAACTTGTGCACGATTGGTTGCGAAAAACAATTAAGAGCCCACCTGAATTTCTTGAGAATGATGCTCTTCAGATGTATTGCGATTGTGGGAGTTTATCAGATGCACAGAAAATGTTTGATGAGATGCTTCACAAGAATTTGGTTTCTTGGGTTATAATTATATCCGCTTATGCGCAAAAGGGTATTTTGAAGAGAGCTATTTTGATGTTTTCGCATATGCTAGAGTCTGGGATTAGACCGAACTCGTCTATTTTTACGAGCCTCTTAAAGTCCTTGACTGAGCATTCGCTTTTAGAACTTGGCAAACAGATACATTCTTATGTGATAAGAACAGGGATGAATAGTAATGTTTCGATTGACACGTCAATTGCAAACATGTATGTAAAGTGTGGATGGTTAGAGGGTGCTAAGCTTGTTTTTGATAGGATGGCTGACAAGAATGCTGTGGTTTGGACTGGGTTGATGGTGGGCTATACTGAAGATGAGAAACTGGAGGAGGTTCTAGAATTGTTTGCTGAGATGGTTAGGAAAAGTGTAGAAGTGGATGACTTTGTGTTTTCGATAATTCTTAAGGCATGTGCTGGTTTGGAGGACCTGATTATGGGAAGGCAAATCCATGGTTATAGTGTTAAACTTGGGTTGGATTCTGAGGTTTCTGTAGGAACTCCTCTAGTGGACTTCTATGTCAAATGTGCAAACTTTGAATCTGCTTACCGAGCGTTTGAGAGAATACATGAACCAAATGATGTTTCATGGAGTGCTATAATCTCAGGCTACTGCCAGAGTGGGAAATTTGAGGAGTGTGTCAAGATTTTTCAGTCTTTAATTTGTAAAGGTGTTACTTTAAATTCATTCGTATATACAAGCATTTTTCAAGCATGCTCTGCAATTGCAGATGTAAATTTCGGCACTCAAGTTCATGCTGATGCGATAAAAAGAGGGCTGGTTGCATTGTTGCATGGAACAAGTGCAATGATTACGATGTACTCAAAATGTGGCAGATTGGACTATGCCTATCGAGCATTTGAATCGATAGGTAAACCTGATACTGTGGCCTGGACTTCTATAATTAGCGGTTATGCTTATCATGGCAATGCCTCTGAAGCTCTTAGGCTTTTCCATAGAATGCAGGATTCTGGTGTAAGGCCAAATTCAGTAACGTTTATAGCAGTTTTAACTGCTTGCAGCCATTCAGGTTTGGTCACAGAAGGAAAGCAGTATTTGGATTCAATGAGCTGTTTATATGATGTAGAACCAACCATCGATCATTACGATTGTATGATTGATGTATACTCTCGTGCTGGGCTACTACAAGAGGCACTTGAACTGATAAAGAGTATGCCGTTTGAACCCGATGCAATGAGCTGGAAAAGTTTATTGGGGGGATGTTGGATACATCGAAATCTCGAGCTTGGGAAGTTTGCAGCTGAGAACCTCCTCCAGTTGGACCCAGAGGATACTGCTAGTTACATAATCATGTTTAATTTGTATGCTTCATCTGGAAAATGGGAAGAAGCTGCAGTTTTTAGAAGAATGATGGCTGAAAGGAACTTGAGAAAAGAAATAGGATGCAGCTGGATCACTGTCAAGGGGGAAAAGCACCGGTTTATAGTGGGTGATCAACACCATCCTCAAATAGAGCAAATATACTCAAAACTGAAGGAGCTGAGCATTTCTTTCAGGGAGGCTGAAGATTCCCTTCTAACTGAAGAGGATGTATTGAATGGTTTTCCTGAGAGGAAAGAACAGCTTCTTGACCATAGTGAGAGACTTGCTATGGCTTTTGGGCTCATATCCTCACCAAGTAATGTCCCAATTGTGGTTTTCAAGAACATCAGGGCCTGCAAAGATTGCCATGAATTTGCAAAACATGTTTCTGTGGTAACAGGGCGTGCAATTGTTGTGAGAGATTCTAGTAGATTTCATCACTTTGAGTTGGGGGAGTGTTCTTGTAGAGATTATTGGTAACTTCTGCAATCTCACTACCCAATGGAGATTTGGGCATGGCACTTTTTTTCTGGAAGCCTAGGCCACAAGTGGGGCTGGTCTTCCTCTAGCCACCATTGCATGTGAGTGCACACGCGTCTGTTTATGACATGCTTGGTTACTGCTTCTTGCCATGTGTCTCTTTCTGGTTGCTGCTGCCTTTTGCATCAAGAGGAAGCCCAAGTCACCTCCAAGTGCATGGGGACGAACAGAAGCGATACCCAATAAAACGGAGGATTGGTGCAGTCGGTGGTGATAATAGTAGTTATTTTTTACTGCCTCTTGCAATAATTTAGTGGGGGCTAAAGTGACAATATGTGTGTTGATCCTGTTGACACGTCTTGTGTATGAAAATCTCAATATTTTGTGTGAAGAAGTCACTGGCAAAGCGAGCGCAGCAAGAGATATTATTTCTTTCTGCTTTTTTTAGTGGGTCTCTAAACCAGCATCACCATAGAAGAACGAAAACCTTCATTTGACAAATGGACTGGACACTGCGGGAAAGTAAATATCTAGACACTTAAACATATATATCTATGAGCAGAAGAGGGAAGAAAAGAAAGAAAATAACTATTAAGAATTCCAACTTCCCCAAAGTGTATTAGAATATGAGTTTTTAAAGTCGTTGAATATTCATATATTGAAAAATTCAAAGGGATGCACAAGAACCAGTATAATAATGAAGTTGGGATCCAGGAAATCTGCTTAGATCTAAAGAATTAAGAAACAGAAACAAACAAAAACCCACCTCCTATGATTGCATCATCATTCATCACTTGGATAATTATTATGAAAAATAAACCATATACGAAAGAGAAAGAAACAAGGTGCTTTTGATGGCAGTTTGCAAGTTGCAGTTTGAGGGTAATGGTTTTGGTACTTTATGGTATTATGGGTAATTGTTATTTTCAGTTGGCGCCAAATAAAATCCTATCCACAAATCCACTCCTACTATGGCAACTCATGTATCAGCTAAACCAGCCAATCCCTGTCATCTCTGCTGGTTTCTCTCCCCTTCTTAAATTAAATTCCCTCTTTCACCCACCCTCACTCCAACTCACTGTTTCCACTCTGTTGCCTTCTGGGTTTCGTCTCTCTTCCCATAACTCGAGTGAAAAAAAGCCTTCGCTTGCCTGCTTGCTTTCTTCTTCTCATTCTCAGGAAGATGGGCTTTTTTATGTGCAGATTTTCTTGGTTGGCTTCGTTTCTTTAAGGTGAGCTATACATTTGTGTTCCTTTTTTCGAAGTCTGGTGCTTTTGATCTTCTCATGGTTTTCTGAATTCTGCATGTCTTGAAGATTTAATCAATTGAGTTTAACAATACTTGATTTTTTCAAAGTTTCAAACTTGCTTCTTGAACATCAAATAAATAAGAGAAGTGCTCCCACCCCTACAATTCAAGAATGTATGTGCTAGAGAACAGGGCAAAATCACAACATGGCTGAGACAATCTCTGCACTGTCAACAAAACAGGGCAAATGATATTTGTTAGCACCATGAGGTGCGTATGCCCCTTGTATTTTCATTATGTCACAAAAAATCTTCTGTGCTTCTAATAAAAGATGCAATTTATGCAATTTAAATCACATGATCTTCTCCATCTTCAAAGTTTCAAACTTGCTTCTGGATAAAGCACTTTTGTTGAAGTAGTCTAAAGGTCATGGATATTGGACAAATGAAATGTTCCTCGAACTATGGAAAGCCTCCATGGGTATTCAAAGGCAGGTAAGTGTCCAACAACACTTGGGGTTTTTTGGCCTTTTGTTCCCAATCATGAAAAAGGACTCTGCTGACTGATTGCCCTGATTTTTCTAATCAGTGCGTTGTATCAATTCCATCTTGTCAAAGCAGCAACTGTTCGTGCATGCATCCCAAAAGAGTTCAGATTAGTTGAAGCATTTGGGTTAGTATACTTAGTAACATTGTGGCTTAAATGATTGAGAGCGGTACAGGAGCATAACGTGAGAGCTCTACATATTTAGTAATAAGACCTTATCCATATATTTGCTTTCCCAACCTAAATAGATTTGTTGGTTTCTCATCACTTTTATATGTTGCTCCTGATATTAGCCTCCGGTAACGGGTTCATATGTTTTGTGGTGTTTTAAGAATTTGATTACCAAACATGTGTTTACACGTTGCAGGTATACCCTTGGTGGCTTCTTTCTTGCCAACTATGATGACAGTCCAGCTGGAGTCTTTGATGAGGTTCATATCTTCATACTTTTTAGGCCTTGATACAAAAAGTTAATATATCAGTTTTTTTTCTCATTACTTGGTTTATTGTAGGAGTGATCCATGTTTGCTTTAGCAAAGACGTGGAAAATAATAATTTTCAAGTTTATTCAACCAGTCACTAACTGGACTGCGTTTGTTTTCTCCCTCCCAGCTCGTTGTAATTGCTGGACTTGTATGGAGCCCACCAACATCTTGCGCGTATGTTTCCTTCAACCTTATCTTTCTTCATAATAAGATCAAGAGCATACAATCTTGTTAGGCAACAATACCCCAATTCCTAAACTACCTAAAGCAACAAAAACAAAGTTACTTCAACCATCTAGAGCACCTAATTTTCTTCTCAACTGGACTGAATAATAATATCTCATGAACTTATGCCCCTCTTTAGACAAGTTATGCGGCTACCAATTGAGTTATATCTTCTTCTTCTTTTTATTTTCTTTTGTGTCAGTTGTGACATTGGGAAAGGGTTTTTAGACTTGGTACATCCTCTTTAGCAGAGAGGTCTGACTACTGAGCTATGTCTAATGATATCTAAATAATTACTTTGTTCTTGTTTTGAAATATAGATGAAATAAAACTGTTGTGGAAACATTGGTTATGAAGTACTTGTACAGAAGCAGTTTGACTTGTTTTTGTCAAACAGATGGGCAGCTAAGGTGCTGGTGAATAGTGATGAAGCTTGTGATCATGGACGAAAGGTGGGAGGCTGCATAAGCATATAAGGCATTTTGCAATAGAGCTAGTCACAATTTCTTATTGTTCATCTATAGTTCTTATGTTGCTTGTAGTCGCTTCTTGCAGGAAGTGGGGCTTCCAAGTCACGTTGCGAGGTTTTCTAAGGTACCCTTGAATGCTCATTTGTCGTCAGCTTGCATAAAATATTGAAGTAACCCTGCTTTTATATGCTTATGCATATAGCTAACTCTTCATACTTAAGGTGGACTAGGGATGCATTTTTCACCTACATTAAGTATCCGAGAAATCATTTACTGTTTCCTTAGTCATCCATATGTAGTATGTAATGTGTTTTCTGCATAATGCAGACAATTACAGCAGTTTCAGGGAAATCAAAGAGCAAAAATATTGGATTTCTAAATGCAATTGGCATGAATGCTGTTTTCTGTGAACCAAGAGATTGTGTGGATGTTCAAGTGACTGAAATCAACGATCCAACTGTAAAAGATATCTGTAATATCAACCTTACCACTTTTGGTAAGTTTGTTAATCTGAACATCTGATTAGTAGAGTGGCCACTTAATTTTTGCTTATTTCATCAATTTTCTCTTGAAAACATGTCTCTTGGCATTATTGTCATAGCTTTTCTACATAACAAAGATAATAGAGCAGGGAGTTTTCATCTTAGAGAGGAAAACATAAGTTCATAACTCTATGTTTGGATTTTTTTTTTCTGTAGTTTTCATCCTTCTGCTTGATTAAATCATCGATGTTCCTAATTACGAGTTTGGTGATGGCAGTGCCTGCATCAAATATTGGCAACTGGATGGGGCCAGCGATCAAAATGTCACTTCCAAGTTTTAGGTAAGTTTCTCCCTTGGTTTCTGTTTTGTGCATACTCCCTATGCTATTAGAGTTCGTTTTTTTCCCTTATGTATTTCCTGGTGCTGTGAAATTGCAGCGGCCGTACAGAATATTATCCCAACCTTCTCAAGTACTCTTGCCAGATTGAGTGCAGGTTTCATTTTTTTCAGTTTCATTTACCTTTTTATGTTCATCAAGCTTCGTTAATGTTAAACTCTTTTCCACCAAACTCGAGTGACAACTTGGTATTGGGAAAATGTGTTATCTTTCCTTGGTTTACATGGATTTCCAACATATGATTGTTAATTCGCTTCTGATTAAATTCTGTAGGGTGCGAGCAGTGCATCCAGCAAAGGTATCAGGACCACCTTCGATGCCAAAGAGCGAGGCAGAACAATCTTCAGAAATCCATCACGCGACAGAAGAATTCGTGGATAATGGCAAGAACCTCTGTGTAGCTGTGATGTCATCAAAGCCTATATTGGCATTAAAGTTCAGTTGTATGAAAATGCAGGTTGAAGCTCCAGTTGTAGTTCCCAACAGCTTTAACAACTCTCTAGCAACCTCTTGATTGTGTTATCTGTTATAATATTCCAAATAATTTCTTCTGGCTTGCTGTGATTTCAACAGTAAGAATTTAGTCTCAGCTTCTTGCAACTTTAGTAGGCATCAACTTGTTGTCAATAGAACATCTCGCTTCTAAGCTGCACATATTCACTTGGATTTATCGAACAGACCATTGAAACAGATCAATTATTTGAAACTATTTTACAAATATGGAAACTTGAGATTTGCCAAAAGCATTTCCTTTCTTTTCTTCTCTTTTCTTTTCTTTTTTCTTCAAGTGTTTATAAAAAATTTCTACTTTCCATGGCATGGACATCAACTTGTTGTCAATAGAACATCTCGCATCTAAGCTTCGCGTATTCACTTGGATTTATTGAACAGACCATTGAAACAGATCAATTATTTGAAACTATTTTACAAATATGGAAACTTGAGATTTGCCAAAAGCACTTCCTTTCTTTTCTTTTCTTCTTTCTTCAAGTGTTTACAAAAAATTTCTACTTTCCATAGCATGGACAACCCCCCGTGTAACATGTTACAAATAACAAACAAACGCACTTTTCATGCTCAGATGATTGAACCTTACAATCAAATTTCTTACAATCTCAATCTGGACCCAGTCTAACTGATCAGTAGATCAGAATACTTCGGGTAGAGGTCGGCCCTCCAAAAATGACTTGAACAATACAAGTGATCTCTCCGGCTGTGAGAACGGCGCTTCATGTGATGCTCCTCTAATGGTGGCAAAGGAAAGCATATTACCATAAGCTTGAGTCCACCCACCAACCTGCAGGTAAGGAAAAAAAGGAGCATCATTTAACACTTTTTAAGTTCCTAACAGAAGCACCAGAAAGTCATCAAATTTTAGTAATCTCAAATAAGAGTCACCTGCTGCCCCTCAAACCAGACTCTATAAGGCACGGTGGTATTTAGTCCTAATTGCTCTGCAAGTCTATGAACTAATGTTCTACTTCCTGTCAATGGGATAACAGAATCTTGGTCTCCACTGAAAGTTTACAAGAAAGTAAGTCAACTGCAACGACCTTTAGAAAATAGAGAATGTTTTTATGTTGTCTAAAAATACATAAAATACTTATAAAGGTAAGAGGCATCTACCTGTAAACCAAGACCGGTATTCCTGCTTTGATGAGTTTGCCCACGATTGTGATTGTTGGAATCTCCACATCCAACAGCTGATAATCCAGTATGCTGTCATGAACACAGAAGATGATTTAAGCAAAATACTACTTTGAGATGCAGTCAAAATTTATATCTGGTGAAGAAAGTTACTTGCTGCAAACTGCCCATTGACGAACGCCAACAAGTCGAGCGTGCAGTGCCTTCTGCACGTCTGGCCTGTTCAGATAATTAACTATTTCATCCTCCACGCATACATCTATTGCCTCAGTAACTTGCTGCTAGAATGAACAAGTTAAAACAATTAGAAGATAGATACAAACTTGTCGAAAATGAATCAAAATTTCAGGTTGCAAAAGATGGTTTTCACCTGAGGAAGGAGGACTTTGGATTGGGAGAACACAGATGATATACAAACATCAAGAGTGACATCATACTTGTCAACAAATTTACTGGTTTCTCTGCTCACTTGGCTCATCACCCTTGAACAAATAGGTGAAACCGAGCCTCTGTAATATTCACTCACATAACGTGAGTAGTTGCAAACAGAAGTGAACATGTTGTATGTTGAATCTGATATCAATCCATGAGACCAAAAGAACTCAGCTCTTGAGTTGAAATCAGTTGTATATTCCAGGACTGGGTTACCCAACTGCAAAGAGAACAAATATTTTGGATCAAAATAGAGGGGGAGAAAGCACAAGAAATCCAAAGGTGGTAATTTTGAGATTTTATCACTCACCGCAATTCCTTTCAAATTGAATTGATACCCCTCATATTGGAGCATGAGTTCTGCAAGCTGGGGAACATAGTGACCTGGATATAAATAGCGAAAATAAAATCAATAATTCCATCTCTTATTATATCCTTGATTAAGAAGTAAGCAATTGTCAGGAACAAGATGATACCAGCATAGCTTTCCCCTGTAATAAACAAGCTTCTATTTTTATATTGTGGGAATTTTTCTAACCACTTTTGCAAGAACAGCAGATTGTCCCTGGCTGTAGATAACAAGGACAAAGTTCAGAAATCATAGATGGCCTGTAAAGGTGAACTTTTGTCAACTCAGAAGCAAAAATACAAAACATCAACAGTACGCATCACACATGGCATATCTGTAAAGTGAGTGAACTAAGAAAAATTATAGTGCAAGGCCATCATGAAATATTATTTTGAATCTTTGGTGTAAAAAGAAATGAAAAGATTTCAAATGGAACTTTGGGGAAGATAAAAAAAAGAATATTTTCTTCTCTTTCTTTTCTCTTTCTTTTTGGGAAAAAGAACAAAGGAAAATGATAGGAAGACATGTTGACTTGAAATTCAGTACACAAATTGTGTTTCTTCTGCTGTTTTTAAACTATTTGCATAAGGGTTTTTCTTTCTCATCTAGCAAGACCTCTACTTGTTAATAAAATTAGAAATTTCAAATACAGTGAATGTAAATTAAATTTCAATTAACAGAAATTGAATAATCAAATGGGTGAGGCGTGCCTGTGATGTGGTCATTTACAGCCTCATAAGAAGAAGTATCCGTTGAATAAGAGAACCCCACTCCAATTGGTGTCTCCAAGTAAAGCATGTTTGCTTCTGCAAATCAATGAGCATGTTAAATAATCATCAGCATTGGATTGTTTTGAAACTATCCAGTAATGAATTGAAGAAAATCAAAAGGAGCATTCTTTTACCTCTGTTCCAGCTATGTTCATTTCTAACCAATACCTCTCCGCTAGGCCTAAATGGCCCATTCTCAGAAAACGCTCCAACTCCCAGAGAAGAGCAACCAGGACCTGAAATCACAAACCATCGAGACCCAGAAAGATTTCATTTTTTTCAAAACCCAATTTAAAAAATATATTAAAAAGATAGAAAATTGAGTTTTGAGTAAGAAGTAGGGACCTCCATTGAGCCAGAGGACAAGAGGCTTGGAAGCTGGATCTATTTCTGCTTCAGCAAAGTAATAAAACAGAGCTCTCTGTTTCTTCTCATCAACGGTCACATAACCCGAATACTGCTGGAACCCGACTTGGGGTTGACCCGGCAACAGAGCAATTCTATCAAGCTCAGAAAGAGAAGCTCGTGCTTTCATGGAAGAAGAAGTTACGTGGAGCAAAACCAGAGCCACTACAATGGTCTTCCATGGTAGAGAAAGAGAAATCATGGGTTCGGTAGAAAGAAAGAGCAAAGAGCCTAGAGCCTAGAGAGAAAGAAAGATTCAGCTCAGCTGAAATGCTGCCCAGAGTGGGGGCTAATATAAAGATAAAAGAGGGGAGATCTTGTTTTTTGTAATTATTATTATTTGAAACTTTTGTCCCATCAGAGACTTTGGACCTGAAAGAGATGTATGCGATCATGTGAGAGACTCATGCTGGCCTCTCTCCTTGGTGTGAACTGGTCACTCACTCTCTCTCTCTCTCTCTCTCTCTCTCTCTCTCTCCCCTTGCCTATGTTGGGATGACTTGGCTGAGTCAGCAAATGGGGTGTTACTGTTGCTGAAAATGAAAAGAGAGAATGTGCTTTTTAAGACACTTTATGAATTCACAGATTGTTCAGAAGTACTGTATTTGTCTGTTTTGTGTTTGGCCAATATGTACTCCAAAATCTACAACAGACGCTGCAATTGGATTCACTGCACTAAAAACTCTGTTCCATTCAGATTTTTTTTTATATCTAAAAAATATTTAATTATTCTGTTCCATACTCCATAGAAACGAAAAGAAGCTCTACGGGGACGACTTTTTATTCTCCTCACCATATAGCTGAACGTGACATCCAACCAGTGTAATAATGTCTCCACAGAATTTTCCTCCTAGCCAACAACATTATTTATTGGCAGGCAATTGTAGCTCAAGCTCAAGTGAATCGATTTCCCCTTCTCCCGATATCACTCGTAAACATAACTAAAGTAACAAACTTTTTTATTTCTTTCAACTTTTACATGAAAGAAATATGCGTGTAAATTTGGAAGCATGACTTGGGTGGAGGTCAATGCATGCCATGCCAGTCGCAAAGACATGGTTTTTGAAAAGAAAAACTTGTAAAAACCCGTGATCTGGGTTGAACTTTAAGATAGCATTTTGCATCCAAAATTCCAAACTCTAATTACGGTTCATTGGCTAATAATCCAAATATAGTAAACTATTTTATTAAATTATTACTCGTGTGCCGCAGCAGGCTGCTCACTGGGCACCTGTTTTCCATGGTTTTGTTTATGAAACTGCGAAATACGACAAAAACATATTCCGTTATTCCGTGTCTTGTTTTCTTCTCATTTCTCAGCTAGCTGAGGTAAGGTCTCAATCTTGCTCAGGACAACACACAATTACACCCTAATCCGCATGCAAATTTTTGTTTGTGTTATCAGCAAACAAAATATACTTGCTTGTGGCATCTCTGCCATTTCGGGTCACCTTTTTTTAATAATTAAAAAAAAAGAATGAAAAGTGCCTGTGCAAAGTTTAGTTGGGAAATGTGCCTAAAATGGAAGTGCAGCAATGAGCATAAGGCATTCTGTGATGTTTCTCTGTGAGTCTTGAAATGGTAGCATGGTTTCACTTTTCTGTTCAGCTTTATTTTTTTCTTATATCAATTGTTTTCCTTGAGGAATTGATGGGTTTCTTTTCATTATATTTTACTTTGTTTATATGGGGAAAAGCTGATTAGCTTTTGAATTGGTAATATCTCTTTTTCTTCTTGTTTGTTTTTTCATATTGGATTAGATTAGACACGCCTGTTAGAACCCATACATGTTGGTTGTTTTTTTTTGGTAAGTACTATGAGGTGTTCGGGCCATCTTGCGTGCACTTCGACTAATCCCCACTCGTGGAACTAAGCTTATAGCTAGGCTAGCCACCAGGTGTTGCAACTGCT